TAAATGTGCTGTGTAGTACAGTAGCCACTAGCAACTTGTGACTTTTGAGTACTTGAAGTGTGGCTAGTGAGACTGGGGGACTGAGTTTAACATTTTATTTAATTTTAATTAAATTTAAGCACATGTGCTAGTAGCTACTGTATGGCACAGCTAGTGGTCATAGATAGTATGACCATTTTACAGGTAATGCAGGGGATAGAAGAATCTATTAAAGTGACACCATGAAAATGTAATCAGCCAAAATCAGAATATGGGAAAATCTGTATGTCACATGATCTTTTTATTTCAACAAACGTGTGAAAAACAATGAGGTAAAGATAGGTATAGATTAAGAGACTTAAGATCCATATAAGCTAAATTTAGTATGTGAACCTTATTTGGATCCTGATTGAAACAAACCAGCTGTTAAAAAAAAAATCTTTGAAACAAGCAGAGAAATTTGAACACTGACTGACCTTTAAATGATGTTATGGACTTGCCCATTTTGTAGGAGTGATGATGATATTGTACCTATGCTGAAAGTCTTTTCATTTAGAGATATATTCTAAATGGATATAATGATGTCTGTGTGTATGGTAGCAGGACAAGGAGGTGGGGCTAGATGAAACAAGATGTAAGATGATGAGAAGATAGGTAATGGGTACATGAGTCTAGTCTCTAATTTTGTTCATATCCAAAATTTTCTAAAATAACATTTTTACACAGTAGCAATTAATGTAATTAAAATATATAAAGGGAATAATTTACTCAAAATTCAGAATGGGAGAAGATATGATTGGGAAGAGGCATTATGCAAGGGACTTCTGAAGTGCTAATAATTATCTTCTTTAGTGAGTACACACAGTTCTTGGTTTTATTAACACTTTTAGTTCTGTGTCTGCTTTTCATGCACTGTTCCATATGTATGATATATTTCACAGTAAAAAGTAAAAAGAACATAAAGGAATTGTACAGAATCCAATTTGGAGGAAGCACAGTTGGACTGCATGGGAATTAGAACGTATTCAGAGAGACTCTGCGCCTGTTTTCCCCCGGACACCACAGTTTCTTGTTTCTTCTCTTTGCTTGAATGCACCGTTTTCCTGTCTCTGACGGTTGTCTTCTCTGCTTAGTCATCTGCTTTTACGTGGCCTGTGAAGACTTCTTCAGATGGCGGGCCCACCCCCTGACCTCACTGAGGCTTTTTAGTCTGTTTTGGTCTCTGATATGAACTCTAGATTTTGGAAGAGAATTGGACTGACTTTCGGGCAGGTGTTCACCCAAAACCAATAAATGAACTATGACTAGCATAGTGCACCTTGGTCACAGGGCCTGCCCCTTCCAAAGCTGTTTGCAGGGGACGTTCTTAAGAAAGAGTTGTAGATACCTCTAACATAACATCATTGTCTATAATGGTGAAAGATTTGACACAGTATCTAGCTTTAACAACACAGGCTTGGGGATTGGTTTAAGAAATTCTGGTATAGCCTATGGGATAATATGTAGCATCTGGATCCTGAAAAATGTTCATGAATAATGTTGAATACTATTTGGTGAATGCCCTTTCAGAAATATATACATTTTTTTTGAGTCCTAGAATGAGTGGAAACTATAAAACATTAATGAATAATTAATGAAAGCTGTATTTTGGATAATCCTGAGCTAGTGGGTATCATAGTTCAACTGATCACCTCGCGGTACAGTATGTCCAGTAGAACCTGTGGGCTCTGTGCCTCACACAAAGCTAATGGCTGGGGATAGGGGAAAATATATGTATGCACATGCATGTATATACTTAAGAGTACATAAATATATTTCTGAAAGGAAGTGCATAAAAATGTTAACAGTGGTTATTTTGGGCTAGTGAGATGGTAGTAGGGTTTTTTGTTTTGTTTTTGCTTATTTGTGTTTCCTGATTTTTTTCTACACTGAATAATGGATTATTTGTATAGTAAAGCCTGTAAGGATAAGTGGGAGATATTTTCTTATTTGTATTTAATTTGTTCTACAAATAGCAGAGCACATATTAGTATAATTTCAAAAAGTTAACTTGAAATAAACAATATGGATATGTAAAGTCTTGCATTTAAGTTAAAACCCAATTATCTTCCACAAATCTGTGTCAAAAATAGGACATAAGAGAGACTGGGCTTCTAATTATAAGTCCTGGAGATCCTGATTAACTTATTTAGGTCAATAGTGTAAGTTTTCATCTAGAACAGTCAAGTGCCCCGTTAAAATATTATGTGAAAAAAATACTGTGTCCTTATTAAGAGAGTACTCTTTCAGTGTACTCTGCATGGATTCAAACACATCTGAAAAAGTTGCCTGTGTTAAGTCCTTACCTTGAAATGGGACAAAGTGGAACCCTAAATGAGGCCAGCGTGGTCTGAGGCCATTTGAGGGATGATTGAGAGAGCTGGAGATGGTCAGCCTGGGAAGGAACCCGCAGGGAATGTGATAACAGGCCATAAATATTTGAAAGGGCATGGTGGGAAGGAGTGATCCAATTGCAGAATTTATTAGGAAGCAGATTTTACTTGGGTCAACATAGGGAAGAACTTTCTGTTCACATTATTGCTCACTGGAAAGGGCCTCTTCACAGAGTGGCAGAGACTGGGGACACATCTGACCATTGTCTTAGACTCAGGTCTTTTGTTGAAATGTGTAAATTAAAACTTAGTTCTTCCCCTGCGTGTCTCTCCTTTACTCTCACGCCACCACCACACTCACAACTCTCTCATACCGAAAGTGTGGGTTTTTTCACCCACACCAAGCAGTTCTGCAGCACCAGCTGGGTGTCTGTAATTTAATTCAGTTATGACACTACCTGGACATAGGCTCAGTCCCACAGGACTGCCCCCCAGTCCCACTTCAGATGTCAGTGTGAAGGTAGTTGGGTCCCCAGGCTACCACAACTTCTGCCCTACTTGGCCACAAATGGACCCACCTCTTAGATTTGATTATGTGTTAGAACGATTCACAGAACTCAGGGAAACATGTTTGCCAGCTTATCAAAGGCTGTGGTAAAGGATACAGATGAACATTCAGATGAAGAGATACAGAGGGAGAGGTCTGGGAGGGTCCAGAGCTCAGAAGCTTCTGTCTCCGCGGAGCTGGGGCAAGTCACTCACGCAGTGTATGGGTGTGTTCACCAACTTGAAGCTCTCTGAATCCTGTACTTTTGGATTTTTATGGGGACTTCGTCACATAGGCACAATGACTGAACATTAACTTCATTTCCAGTACCTCTCCCTTCTCCGGAGAATGGAGGGTAGGGCTGAAAATCCCAAGCTCTAAGCATGGCTAGGTCTATCTCGTGACCAGTCCCCTTCCAGGAGCCGACCCAGAATCACCTCAAGAGCAAAAATCATTTATATCACCCAGGAAGTTCCTAGGGATCTAGCAACTCTGTGTCAGCAACTAGGGTCAGAGACCAAATATTAGAACAAAAGATGTTCCTAGTGCACTTATCACTTAGGAAATTATAAGGGTTTGAGGACTTCTGTGCCAGGAACCAGTGGCAGAGACTAATATATATTTTTTTGCTCCAGCTGGTGTGGCTCAACTGGTTGGAGTGTCATCCCATAACCCAGAGGTGGGGGTTTGATTCCTGGTCAGGGCACATACCTAGGTTGCGGGTTTGATGCCCCTGTCTGAGTGCGTCCGGGAGGCAACCAAATGATGCTTCTCTCTCGCGTTGTTTCTCTCCCTTCCTCTCTCTCTCAAAGCAATGAAAAAAGTGTCCTCAGACGAGGATTATATATATATGTTCTCTTAACTTACAAGAGGAAAATTGTGTGGCATAAGCTCTAAGGGTTTTCTATCTCTGAGAGTGTGAATTGATGAAAAATAGATCTTATTTACATACAAAAAAAATGAGACTAGATTAAAATTGGATTGCAAAAATTTGTCTGTCATTTGCATTTTTACAAAACTCTGAAACTTCCAACATTTGAGGTGTACTTCAGTAAGTTATTTTGAATTAAGAAGTGAACTTTGGGCTTCAGTTTCTTGCTGTCTTAGCTAGAGGCAGTTAAACCAGGAGTATCTAAATACGCACTGAACCATATGGTTATCTGAGTGCTCAAGAAAAGGCTAAATGAATAAACCACAAAACTAAGCAGCTTCTAATGGTTGTGAGGCTGACTGCCTGGGTTTGGGTCCTGTCTCTATGCCTTATTTTCCATACCTGCAAAATGGTAATGACAATGCCAGCCATAGGCTCTCTGTAAACTTGGGGACATAGCCCACATTATGCATTTCACCTACATACTCCTTGAAGGCATTTAACAGTATTCAGTAAGTCATTGGTAAATGAGTGAGTAAATGAATGAAATCACAAAAATCTTTTACCTGATTTTTGATACAGCGATCTGAGCTTACTGAATAGAGAGGTGGCATTCTGTACTTTGGCCCTGAACTCCAGTTCGTTTTATCCTACATCTCACTCTGCCCTGTATTTTCTGCCTAATTTAATCATCTGTTTTCCAAGAAATAATGATTCCTGAATTAGGATTGATTCTGTGGGGACTTCTTTTGGAAAATGAATTTTTTAAAAAATAAATGGGTTATCTGAGAATACTTGGATGTGATAACTTGAATAATTTTGTACTGGGCCTCCCAGAGTATAAAGTTTATGCCCAGAATATTTTTGGAAAGGGAATGTTGTTTGAAACTGCCAGATTATTTAACTTTTTTACTTATTTTATTATTTATTATTTATTATTATTTTTTATCCTCATCCAAAGACATGCTTAGAGAGGGGGAGGCAGGGAGAGAGAGTGGGAGAGAAACATCGATGTGAGAGAGAAACATCGATGTGAGAGAGAAACATCGATCAGTGCCTCTTGTGTGCACCACAACTGCGAATTTTACCTATGACCTTTTGGGTTATGAGATGACGCTCCAGCCAACTGGGCCACACTGGCCAGGGCCTGCCAGATTTTTAAAAACGATACAAGATAATTATGATTGTGTTCCCTCTTAGATATTGACTTTTTCTTTCCATGATTTTCTAGAGAATGAAGATGTAGAAAATACCAAGGTCACCTCTCCAGCGGCTTCTGCCTCTGATCCGGAGCCCCATCCCTCACCCTATAGGTAGGAACAACGACTGCTTTGGATAAAATGCTTCTAGAGCATTTTTATTCCGAGAGAGGGAATTGGTGAGAGAAGTAGGCAGCAACTTTAAGGGGGAAGACAAGTTGTAGTGAAAGGTATGAATGGTTTTTGCCATTAAATGATCAACCTTTAAGTGTATTTAGGGGCAGTGTCAGATCTATTTCAAGTTGTAAAATTTTCTTTTACTTTCAGAGAATAAAACTGTAACAAATAGTGTAGCATCTTTATGTTCTGAAGACTAGGTTCAAATGTGAAGACATTCAAAATGGATCTCAGGTGGACTTTCAAGAGAACATGTGTTTGATTTCTGTTCTTACAAAGTGTATGTGTGTGTGTGTGCATACACACACACACAATTGGAGGTAGTTTTTTATTATGTAACTTTCAGGTTAAACCATTATGATGACCTTCAAATTATCATTCTTAAATTTCCCTCCCTGTCCAGCTCAATCCCCACCATCAGTGATATCAGAGTATACAGGAGAAAGGGGAGACTTGTACTGAGCCATACATAAAACATTATGGAACAATTAATGAAAAACTATTTTGGAGAACCCTGAGCTAGTGGACATGGTAGTCCCACTGATCAGGGAATGGTACAATGTCAGGCAGAACATGTGGTTCCTAAGTCTCACACAAAATTAACAGTGAGAGAAGGTCAAGATATTTTTAAATCTGTTACATCTTGAATAAAAGTTCTTTCTCCTTATCTTTGTATATGAAATAAAACTCTTCCCCCCCAGAATTCAGATGATGAAAGATAATGATTAATATAGTTGGTGATAATAATATAAGCCACACTTGATTGAATGTTTCTCTGTAATAATAATAAAATTATTACTTTTTATTGAATATTTATATTTGCTCAATACTATTCCAGGTGTTAAACTATGTTATCATTTAATTCTCATAACAACCCTCATTAAACAAGTATACCTTTTTTTTTTTTAAGATGAAGAAAATCACACAGTGAATTCAGTTATTTGCCCAAGTTTACCCAGCTTTGGGTTTGTTTAACTCTAAAGCTTATTCTCATAAGTAGCAGTAGAGGAGTTTTGAGTTCTCTGCTTAGAGCTACTAGGTTACTATATATAACACTCCTTTTAGAAGACACGGTCTCCCGAAGGCTTTGATGATCTGAGACAGTTCATGTTCTCATCAGTCCCCTGAGGAGAACTTCCCATCTTTCTGCCACCACCCTTTTTCTGTTGATTTGAAGGATCTTTGGGGGATAGGTTTTGGCACAGAACTGATTTTTCCCTCTAAGAATAAATACATTTTTTTGGAATGAGGATTACTTGTATAGAACATTCTCAGAAAGAGATTTCATTTTAAAGTCTTGTTTCTAAAATCTAGTGTGTGAAGAAAGAAAACCCAGCGATTGTGACATTTAGCGTGTGAAGTTTAGTACCGTACTTGTGTCTTATATATATTGGAAACGGAAACGGCACAACTGTCTGTCCGTTCCAGTGAGCCTGGCTGCGGGCCCCTCCCTGTGGAATGGCGTCCCTGTTCTGGGTCAGCCTGACCAGAGCCTTGCACTGGGAGTGTTTCCTTGACGTGGTTTATCATTGGCATCAAGTGATTTGCAGTTTATCTTTCTGAAAATGCCCTTTGCTGATTCTTCAGAGCATAAAATGCTAATGTGAATATTAAATTTATGTGGCTGTTGTTTGTCCTGTGTAACACATTTTTTAATAAGTAGAGCCATATTTGTGCAAAGTAACATGCAGAAAGACAAAAAAGAGACTCACTTTTAGATGCCATACATGGTAAGGGCAGGCAAATGGTCAGATTAGCTGTTGTATTCTTACATTCCAAATATTCCTCCTTTGTTCCCAAACAAAAATTCATTCATTCATTTATTTATTCAACAAATAATGAGTGGGTGTCTACTATTTATTCATTCAGCAGATATTTACTGAGAGCCTGCCCTGTACCTAGCACTCTTCCAGGCACTGAAGATGCCACAAATGAACAAGCTGGTGGGGGAAGGGGCGATGAATAAGGGGACTAAATGGTAATGGAAAAAAAAAATACAAAAACCAAAACTGATAAAGAAAAAAAAAATGAACAAGCAATCCAAGTCCCTGGTTTCATGGAGCTTACATTCTAGTGAGGGAGGAAACAGAAAATAAATATATATTGTATTTCATAGAATCTAAGTTGCCATCAATGGTAAGATGAACTGCTATTTTATGTACGAGCAAGTAATAAAAGAATGCCCAAGATAGTGAATCTAATAAGAGACTCTCCACATGGAGCTTTGGTTCAACAAAAGCCTGCACCTTCAGTGAAAAGATAAACAAGGAAAAAATCCCTCTCTACAGCAGAGGACAACAAGGAAACTGGAGGGTCTCAACCTTGCACTGTATGAGGGCAGGGCAAAATATGTCTCCTGAGAATCTGAACCACAAGTCTAGTCACCAGCTTGTTTTCTAAACTCACTCTCCCAGTGTGGTCTAAACAAAACCCTTCAACAGAACTTCAAGTTCTACTCTGCTGGTAGCACTCCCGAGCTCCGGCAGAAGCAAATGCAAATCTCCTGGGGAAGCACACGACGTCAGTCCAGGCCCCAGGCCATTTGAAGACACCACCAGTGTTTTAGGACATCCCGTATTTCAGTTGTATTAAAATCTGAAAACAAATATGCAGCTTGCAATCAACAAAATATAGTACATACTATGCCAGGCAGTAATGAGTGCAGTGAAGAAAAGTGAAGCGAGGAAGGTGTAAAGAGAGATAGGGCCAGGGAGGGGGGGACGGTATTTATTATATGCAGACATCTGGGAAGCCTCCCGAACCTGAAGGAAGGAAGCCAGAAGGTCACTGGGGGAAGAGATTTTAGGCAGAGGTGGCAGCAGGTGCAAAAACCCTCAAGCGGAAGAGTGCTCGAGCTGTTTGAGGATCCCTAAGAGATTCAGAGGTCCCTGTGCCTGGAGTGGGCTGGGCAAGGCGAGATGAGATCATCCGAGGGGAGGTGGGGTCAGAGTGCGAAGGGTTTTAGGGTTCCATGCGACAGGCCTGGCTGTAGATACTGTGCAAACAGAGGGGACAAGGCCAAGTTTTTGCCTTCAAGCTCACCTAAGAGTGAGAGAGATAATAATAAATAGTTTCGAGGAACAACACTGAACTTTAATTTCTGGGCTAGAGGGAAAAATAGGCTCACAACATAGATTAACTAACAATTTACACAGGATTACCTGAGCAAACCCATAAAAACCAACAGTCTCCCACGGTTACTATCAATTTTCATAGTAACTACCTTTTGTTTGCTGTGAGGTAGGTTGGAGTGACTTGGTTATTCCAAAAGGTGGTTCTGTTTTATCTAAAGAGGAGATAATTTATAAGCTAGAAGGTTTTTCTTGTTTGTGTTAGAAAGAAAGAAAAAGAAAAGAAAGAGAAAGAAGGAAACTGACAAACTCCAAAATAAGCACTCTGTTTTTGAGGAGATAATGCCCTAAACCAGCACTCCTCAAACCTTTACACCCCAAAGAATTTTTACCTATGTGGGTTATGTCTATCAATGTTTACTATATTAATTAAAACTGAAAAATTAAAAAAATTGTTATTGATTCATTTAGAATAATAACAGACTCATTACATTAATATAAATAACATGTTTTTAATGAAAAACAATTTTTTAAAGCAAAAATAATTTAGAGAGAAGAGAGATGTTGTAAATTCTTTAAACACCTTAACAAAAGGCAATTGGGTTCTCAGATCTGCTTTTGCATTCACTGTGTTGCAATAGCACGTATAGTCTCTGGAAAACTCCACTGTATACTCTTGAGAAGATGAAAATGAAAGAAGACAAATGATATTTTAGAATTATTTTGAAAACATTTTGACTTCACAGACTCCCCTGAAAGAGCTTTAAGGTCCCTGGGTCTCTGACAAGACTTCGATAGCCGCCGCTCTAAAGAATCCATCCATGCCACCTTTTGTTGGAAACAGATTCCCAAGAGACCTGGGTATTGGGCTCCAGTCCTGTCACTTCAAGCGCTTTCCAGTCTCTGGAAGGCAAGGGAAATGGAAGAGAGCATAATTATTACCTTGCTTCTTTAAAATCAGCTACTCAGATAGATGTGGTTTAAGCCACTGGGATAGAAGGTTAAGGTGCTTAAAGAGGAAAGAAAGTGATTACCTTTTAAAGTCACCCAGTGAATTGGGTGCAACGTGGAAACCCTGGACAGGGCTGTAGAAGGTAGGGTGTGAAATGGAAATGCTGAAAGACTGACTGCTCTGGGGTAACTGTTGACAGGGGTTGCCTTGCTAATCAGTTTGTGCTTCCTTTGTTTTGCTGAGCAGTTTCTTTGCTTCTAACCAGTGGTTTTATGTGTCCTGGGAGTCTAACTCTTGTTGAAATTCTGTGCAGAACAAACGGCATGGGTCTCAGAGTGAGGAGTAAAATCAGACCTGCCGTCTACCTCAGATGACTGAGCTATGCATGGACCATGGTTCTTGGAGCCTGGGATGTGGCTTCATCAGTCCGTGGGCCCTCATATATGGTCACCACCTACTTGAGGGCCAGTTCAGCCCTGGACAGTGGTCTCCTAAATTGACAGTAGACCTGAGAGACCTGAATGCCAGAGGAAAGCAGAGGCTGTGGGGTGTGTCCTTTGAAGGTTGTTTTATTTCTGAGTTTCTCCAGGGCTATTGTGCCTTTTTAAAAAGAGTCCTTGAACTGACCTGCTGTCTTCCTCTGAGAGGCCACAGATGGTATCTCCGGGGAAGGAGGATGCTACGGAAGAGCCACGGAAAGCAGCCAGTGCCTTGGAGTCTCAGGCCTTGGTGGGGCAGGAATTGCAGCCTACAGACCAGGCCCAGGTCCTCAACAAGGTGGGGAACATATTCTCATTCTCTCTTTGAAAAGGAGGAGTTTATGGCACCAGAGTTTAGCTACATATGGACGGGTCGGAATTAGAAAGCCCGGGGAGAGTGGTTCGCAGCCTTCTCTCTGCTGCCTTCAGGCATCTCGTTTTTAATTATTTGGAGAATGATCCAGTGTGCCTCCCACAGGGCCCATCCCTGTGCTAGCACCCAGTAGGTGTCTAGTTTAAAAATGGAGCATTAGAATGAATGTTTATATATTGTCTAAGATCGTCCCAGTGTGAGAAGGCTGAAACCATGGGACTGTGTTTTAGTGTCACTTTTCTTGTGATAGGTCTACTCAGCATTTATGGTAAAGATTCCACGAAAATGGTATCGACAGCAGTGGTCTCCCTGCTGTGGAAGAATGGGTTGTTTGTATCATTATTAACATATATATCATAATAACAAATGGTATTAGTGTCAGTAAAGACAATGGAAAACATAACTACAATCATATAATGCATTAGAGTTTATAAACCATTTTATCCACAAAACTGCATTTACTCCTGAGAACAACCCTGTGAGACAGGTACCATTGTGTCCCCATTTTACAGATGAGGAAACTGAGGCTAAGAGCTGTTAATGACTTTACTAAGACTATGTAATTAATAAGCTACAAGCTAAATCCTTTGTTTATCCTTCTGCAAAAGGAAGGACTCAGTTAAGCAAGTTAACAACAGTCTGATTCACCTCATTTAGCAATGGAATTAAGAACTGAAAGACTTACTCTCCAGAAACAGGTAGTATGAGGATATAATCTGGGAGGATTACAAAATTTCTTTCTTTCTTGCAAATATAATTCTGGTCTCTTAAACTGGAGCGCTGTCTCAATCACGAGCTTTCCCGTGTTGCCAGCAGGTGTACTTCTTGACTTGCCTGCCGACTGGTAGGAGAAGGAGCAGAAAATTAAGGCATAATACCATATAACAGGGGAACGCTAATCCAAGTGATTTGAAGGGAGACCCACTATGGAGAGATCGCAGGCTCCTGCCATGCGTTGTCCAGGGCTTTGAGTATTGAATGACGTTTGTACTCTTCCTTGTAGGTTAGATGTCTGACAACAAATATACTGTCTAAATGCCAGTCCTGGGACTGGTCTAAGGGGAAATTATAATCATTTATAGAACATGATAGTGGCTGAGACAGCCAATGGGATAAGGTGTCTAAGGTGAGCCGTGGATGAGAGAGAGACAATAAACTGGGTTCTCTCTCTGCAGTGCTTTGGTGAATTGATTGACAGCGGTCTGGAAATAACCTTGGAATGGGAACTGTAGCAGGAGGATTGTGTGGCAGAGTGGGAGCTGAGCTAAACCTTGGGTGCAAGAGCTGTCATGAGTGAGCTGCAGGGTGGTACAGTGCGGGAGGGGAGACCAAGACATGGCCCAGAAACACTGCTGATGCCAAAGTCAGTAGCAAGCTTTGAAGACATTTGTGGGCAAGGATTTTATAACGTGTCTTGAGTAGGAAAGTTGCAAAAGGTAGGAGAGAAGAAGAAAGTATCTTTAAATTAGGGAACATTTTGGTGGCATTAAAATAGTTAGAATTTCTTAGCAACCTGTCCCCAGAGGAAAGAAAGGAAATGATGAATAGCACTTTAGGCTTAGAGTTGGGAGAGTGGAGGTAATAGGGCAGGGTGGGCAGCCTTCCTTTGGAAAGAGGCTAATTGGAATCTGCCACTCTCATATGTCCTCTAACCGGAATTCTGTTGTGCAGATGGCCAAGTATCAAGCTCCACAGAGATCTGGGGACATCGTTATGATCCAGTCTGAGCACACAGGAGCTGTAGATATTCTTTCAGCTGATTTGGAATCTGCAGACCTTCTGGGGGACCACAGGAAAGGTGAGACCTTTGGGAGTATGGAAGGTGGTTTTTCTGTTTCCACTGGGTACTTAAAAGAAAGGCAGGCAGAGAGATGAAAGGAAAGAAAGAGACTTGTGAAGGGAGGTAGAAAGAAAATCCAGTAAAAGTAATGTCTTTGACTGTGACAACCCCCCTAAGCAAAATGCCAGATGTGGCAGCATTTCCTTTTGGTTTCTCAGTAGTAAGCCGCCTGTCCTTTCAGTCTCCCCACCTCTGATGGCTCCTCCATGCATCTGGACCTTTTCCAAGATGAAAGAATTCAAAAGCAAGCTGGGCAAAGAGAAGAACAGCTGTCTGGTGGTGAAGCGGGGTGAGGTGGTGACCATCCGGGTACCCACCCATCCAGAGGGGAAGCGTGTCTGCTGGGAGTTTGCGACCGATGACTATGACATTGGCTTTGGAGTTTATTTTGACTGGACCCCTGTAACCAGCACTGACATAACTGTGCAGGTCAGTGATTCCAGTGAGGATGAGGATGAAGACGAGGAAGAGGAGGAGGGGATTGAAGGTAAATTTAACTTGAACTTAGTTTGCAGTTTCCTTTCCAGCTCAACCTACTATCTAGTGACCACTTTCTGTGTTGTACGGGTCCTCCTCTTCCTTAGAATGCAGGTGAGGGATCCCTTTCATGATCGCCAGCTGAGTTGAGTGATGCAGGCCAAAGTCAGACCCTCAAAGAACATTCTGGTAGGATTGGTATTGATGCCTTCGTGGAAAGCTTCTTTTCCTTCTAATCAGTACCTGTTGTTTCCCCAACATCTCCTTGGGGACAGAGATGGGACGGGGGCAGGGAAATGGGTGGGTCAGTGCTGCTGTATATAGAGGCAGTATTTTTCAGATCACATATATACCCAAGATGATTTTTCATTTCTCTCTTAGTTTTACGATATTTACATTTATTCTTGGCCAGGAACCAAACTGAGTGATTACAGTTTGCTAAATGTGCCCATTCTCAACTCCTCCCCCACCTTACCAAAGGTCACAGCTCTGACAAATGTTTACTTCTTTGTTTTATGCCTAGAGCAGTTTTAAAAGAAGTCTCTGGGCTCCATTCCAGTTGTTACTTGCAATACCTTCTCAGTGTGGCCCTGAGGCATCTTGGGTGGGGAGGGAGCAGGTCGTGTAAGAGTAGGTTTTACGCCTTAACTTTATTCTTTGATTTTCCTATATTATCTTAAAATCAGTTCCTTAACTTGCTTCTTCATGGACAAGCAAGTCTGCAGGGAAGTCTTAAGGTGTCTGGGGAAGAGGAGAACTGCATATATTACTTGCTGCTCTTTTGGAGGCCAGATGGAAGTTCTAGGCACTCTGTACAGTGTGTTTGTTTGCATCTCTGACCATTCACTAGTTCTTTCCCCTATTGAATGAAAGGATGTGAGAATCTTCTCTTCTAAATGTCTTTTTCTTTCCCTTGGAAATGTCCAGGCACTTCTAGAGCTAGGTAGGCTCTGTAGGGTTAAATCCTTGTTTCTCAGTAGAGATGTTATTGGTATTTGGGGTGGGATGCCTGTTTGGTGAGCAGGTGCTGCCCTGATGTTTAGCATTCCTGGACCTGTGGGCCACCCAGACATTTCTGTAGGAGGGCAATAGCATCCCCCCGGGTGAAAGCCACTGGTTCACCTGGTCTATTCTCTCACCTTCAGGTAGGACTTGTGCGTGGTGTCTGAACTCCTGTCCAAACTCTCTACCATTTTGCTCATGCAGACCCTGTCCCAGTTGGAGATGTGGAGAGAGGCTCCAGGAGCTCCCTGCGGGGCCGCTATGGGGAGGTCATGCCTGTGTACCGGCGGGACAGCCACCGAGATGTGCAGGCTGGTAGCCACGACTACCCTGGTGAGGGCATCTATCTGCTCAAGTTTGACAACTCCTACTCCCTGCTACGCAACAAGACTCTCTACTTCCACATCTACTACACCAGCTGAAGGCCTGTGGGGACCAGGCAGGCGGTGTTTGCTGGCTGGAGTGGGCTGCCAGCTGGTGCCTCTTGTTTTGGGTAGGCAAGAGCTTGAAGTTGAGCGTGAGGCTCTTGGCCCTCACGCCCTGCCTGGCATGCCTGATGTTGACCCCACATAGCTTTTGCCCTCCTTGGCTTCTGCAGGTGGCGGTGTAGTGCCCCTGCTCTGTGGTCCCTGACTCACGCTCTTCTTGCTTCAGACTCCAGCGAAGTCCTGTTATGAAGGCGCCCATCAGGCAAAAGCCCAAAAGCAAGTTGGGTGTTGTCTTTTAAAGACAGATTTGTTTTGGTACAAGGTATATTATTCCAGTTGCTGCTCTCTCCTCTCCCAGAGCCTTTATTGCAGATGCGTTCGGTGGTGCCCCCTCTCTTTTTGGAAGTGCTGGAAGAGGGAAAAACACATTGTCCATGAAGGAGCCCAGTTTCTTGCCCGGAGAAGGGTCTCCCCAGCCTCTCAACCACTGCCATATTCCCGCCTGCTGGTTCTTCGTGGTCTCTAGCCCAGGCTGGGAGCCCTCACTGCCTTTGACGGGTGTTATTAGTCCTGATGGTTCGCCTCTGCCTGTTTGCCTCCTCTTTTCCCTTCCCCAGGCCTGTCTTGGCCGTCACATCACAAGAACCTCCATGGACTCTAAAGTGATGATCAACGTAAGTAGGATCTTCTGGGAAGAAAGACTGCCTCCATCACTTCCTGTTTCAAGAGACTCTGTCCCTTACCAAGGACGCTGGTGGTTGAAGGGGCAAGGGTGGCAATTAGGTACTGGATTGATGCCAGAACCCACATCTTTGAAAGTCAAGTTTTACTAAATTTTTTTCTTTTCTTTTTTTTTTAAATAAATCAAAGAAGGAGTATCATCTGAGAGAGAAAGTTTAAAAAGAAAACACTCCAGATTCCCCACTGCTTTTTTCTTTCTTTAGAGTAGGAGCATTATTTAGAAATTTTGCTTTGGAACCAATCAGACTTCCAAAATTTCTGTATTGAGGTTGCACTGAGGGCTTAAAGCTTTTGGTATCCAGAGTCTCTTAGGAAAGATGATAATGAGACTCATGGGTGCTGCTGGTTGGATTTGTCCTTTGCCAGGCCAGGCCTTGCCTTTCCCTGGCAGGGCCTCTCCCGCTGTGTGACCAGGGGCCCAGGAGCGCCGCAGGCGCTGCAGCCAGCGGTCACTTCAGTGGCAGGGTGGCCGGGCCTCAGGCAGAGCAGGGAGCACAGCAGTTGTCGGTACCTCCTTGTTTCTTACTCCTTGTGTCAAGTAAGTTACCTCCTCAGAATTTTGAGGAATAATTAGATTTATTTATTACTTTATTTATTTTTTTAGCATGTCTTTTTATCTTTGAAACAGTTTCCTCTGTTTCATAGAAGGCTTCCGTTTGCCACCTCTTCTGCAGAGTTAATGTTTTAGAAGAAGCTGGGAAGTGATAATGTTCCATTCCTGCAGGTCAGTCCTATGATGCTTTGGGAGGAATCTGCCCCTTCGAAGATGGGTGGCGCTAACCTACCCCAGCATTCCCTGTGTGGAATTCTGGGTTGTGAGAAAATCTGCCCATTTCCCCGGGTCGAGTACTTGAGTAAGCCAATCAGAGATATCCTGTGATTCTAGGATGTCAAAGTCTTTTGCCTCCTCTGAGGGGTCACCTTCTTCAGGATATTTTCTCTGGCTCATTCGTTCCTGTGTGAGTGCCTCGCGCCAGGCCTCCCCTCCATGTAAGAGCAGGAAATGGAAGAACAGGGCTCCTTACTGAAGTTCTGTAGTAGCATCTGCGTCTTAAGCAAAGGGTGATACAGCCTGCACCTTCCATTTCCCTGGACGCAAAGCCCCGCGTAGGGTGGGATATGGTGGACTGCCATGGCCTCCCCATTCTCTGAGCAGCATCACACCACCATTATTTTATATTTGGGTGCATTTTGTAGAGGATTACACTGGCCAAAATTTATATACCTTGTAAGAAATTAGAAATTATTTTCTTGACTCTTTTTGGGCAGCAAAAAGCCAACCTCCTCTGCGTCAGCCCATCAGATAACTGAAAGACCACTCTTTCATCATTGATGGTGAATCATGCCTTTGCTAATATAATCTTTATAAAATAATTTTCTACTGAGCTGCTCTCCAGTCAGCTAAAGCCTTGCTTATTTTTCTTGCCTATTATTAACTTCTGACTTTCCCTTAAAATGGAGCTGCCAGACCACAGCAAGCTCTCTGGATAACACTTACTGTTTATTTTTGCTGTGAGAATCTCTGTACTTACTTTTTTTTTGGAATCCTACTTCTGTTGCATCAGGGAAGCCTAAGGGACTTGTTCCCATTGCCTCTGTGTGCCTCTTATTGTCCAGTCACTTTTGAAGTCCTGGACATTCCTACATTTCATATATACTGGTGTTTTACTAACAATCAGGGTTTCTTTGTTCTGTTTGCACAAAATAGCTAAAAGAAGATATTTTTAAAAATTCGTTCACTATTCTCACATTAAATTTCTGACATTATTGAACTTTAGGGACAAAATATTATTAACTGAAGCGTAGTAATTGCTGAGAATTTCATAGCCCAGCGAATCCTAAGAGGTAGTTGTTTCCTTAGTCTCTCCCTGTACAAGTTCACAGAACCAAACAATAAAATGAAAATCCCTTGTTTTCATTTTCACCCTGTCTTCCAGAGAACAAATAAATATTAACAGTAGAAAGTAACTTCATCATATGAGAAAGACTAGAATTCTCTACACAAAGCAGCTGAATCCTTAAGTTTTTTCCATTTGTTTAGTTTTCGAGATGGTGCTTTTAGAAAGACGTTTAAAAAGTTAATTTTTTCCCAGCATTTTACTATGAAAAATTTTCAGCAAAGTTTTTAAAAGAAATATATAGTACACACGCTTATGCATACCACCACCTAGATTCTAAAATTGTAAGCTGCTAATTTTTAAACAAAGGTGATTCTACCATTCTTTTCCTTTCAACAAGTGTCCAGTTAGAGGCTGTTGCCTCTACAGACATCAACTCTCCTAGGTCAGAGGGCTCCTGGATATTTGCAGGCTTGTTTAATTCAACATGAGTTACCCGGGAGGTGGTCCTCACCAAAGTGTTTCCTGGTCTCCATCTTTCAAACTCATGTTGTATTTCCCCTCTCCCTCAGAACAGAATTTCTGTTTTCTTCTCCAACATGCCTGTGTTCCAGTGAGGGTAATTGTGAAGGTGCTGTGGTAGGGATTTATTCTAATCTTTTTTGCTTTATGAGACATCCTCAGGACTCTGAAATTAAGGCTCAATCCTCAGACAATATGTAGCTTTATAATGGAAGTAGGTAGCAACTTGAAATGAGACCATTCTTATTTTTTTCTTAATTGATTCATGCACTTTAACAACGTTTTTATCTGTTATTTAGGAAAGAAAATCTCAGACTTTAAAATGTATATATTGTCCCCTATAATATGTATGTGGAAGAATTAAATATGAAAGCTCACTCTATCATTTTAATCAGTGGGATTAGATATTATTGTAAAACATATACTAAATATCTGAGTTGATATGTTTTTGATGAGCCTTCCCAAGTCCCTTTGAAAGAATTAGGTGAAACCCAAATCCCAAAGCCTGTATTTTTATGTTTATTTTTTTAAACTACTTTTCTGCAAAAGCTTGCTTTATAACCACAAAGTATGTGGTTCTAAGTTACACTATTGAGTGATCCTAATATTTACATAAAAGACTGTTGTGTAAGAACAAGCGGCATGAGTGAAAGTTTTGTATAGCTTGAGAACTGCCTTTTTAAATTGATAGTAAGGAATGAAAACAATAAAGTGAAGGGAAGAGAGAAAAGTTACCAAATGTATCCTGGAATTTTGCTCATATCCCAATTTTGTTTCGTTCTTAATTTGCATTTCATTAGTTGGAAATGTTCTTTAAGCCAGAAGCCTCACAGGTTCTCATTATGCTTGTTTTGGAAATCCCAAACCCATTTTGCTGTCTTTTCCAATAGTACCAACTTTAGATGTGCTTTTTAGTAGCTCTTCTATGGTAAGTATAACCCTGGCCTGAAGAGAGGGACTAGCCTCTCCATTTCCTACTGATGTCTTGATTGTCTCTGGTATTGTTTAGCACTGGCAACTTGATGTCCAAGGCCTCAGATTTCCTGATTAACCAGAATTAAATAATAGTGATATGAAATTGAGTAGATAAAGCAATCAGTCATGGTTGGGAGTAGGGCTTTGTTCTTTAAACCAGAAGCCTCACTGGAAGGAGGGATTATGACATTTAGTCCCACATGGGGCTACCTGGGTAACCCGCGTATGGCTGCAGCCGGAACCCTTGTTAACCTTACCAAGTGGGTGAAGAGGATGTGACAATACTGTGCTGATGAGGATGACAAATTAATTGAGTTGGCTTATAAATAGAGCAAGCCCTGTGTCTGTGGGAACTATATTCTGTTGCTGGCTGTAAGCATCACGTCATGTGAGCTTGCAGCTCTTCAGCGTTCTCCGAGTCTGACTTCAGGGCCCACCAAAGGAACCAGTCTCCTGTGGGCAGTGACTCTGGCGTCCTTCAAAGGAGAACCTCCTGGGAGCTGGTTCCTGGTGTCCTCTCTTCTGGGAACGGGGGCAGGCCTTTCATCAAGCACTGCTTTGGTTCTGTTGATAACCCGGTTATAGTCTGTGTTGCCCCTTTGCTCTGTCTGACCAGTCCAGCACCTGTGGAATAGTCTAGCATCAATTACTTTGATATCTACCTAGTAATTTACATAATGAGGTTAGGGTACGATTTGGGACCCAAAGAGAAAAAAGCTTTGCCGTGGCGCCGGATTTCAGAAATCACTGCTCCGTCTGGAGCGTTGCATTGTCCTTGCCTGAATCAAGACAGCCAAAGCCCACCCCCGCCCCTGTCGGAACCTCTTGTCACCAAGCTGAGAAAGCCCAATTAATTGTCCAAAGCCTTGATAGTGGGGTTTATTTACAAATAGTCATTCCCTCAAAATCTAAGTCCAAAGGCAGGACTGGCTTTGAAATTATTTCCAGTCCTGGTCCTTGCTTTTAGTGTGTGATGTCTATTATATGTACTTTGATTTCTTTTAGGCCCCAGACACATGGACCAGAGCAAATTTCATGGCTCTTCTTCACTCTAAGAGCTGAGGGGAAGGTGCCCAGTAATCTAGAGAACAGACTTTTAAAATTAAATTCCACGGTTTTATGTCACTTTAAGCACGTAGTTTTGGCTTATTGAGGGGTAAAATACTATACATATGTGAAATGATTTTCAGGGGACAAAGTATATCTTCTAAAAATTCTGACATAGTGAGCAATTCTAAACTTTGGGCTTGAATATTATAGTGTATAGGGTTAGAAGAGCCCTTAATTGGCAGTCACGGTAAGGGGTTCTCTTCCGGAACTCTCATCCTCGCTTAGGGTTAAAATGCCTTGTCTGTGATGTTCCTTGTGATTGGTTGTTTTGTTGTGTGTTTTTTTTTTTTAAATAAAGAATTTATATATTTTTACAGAGAAGGGAAGGGAGGGAAAAAGAGAGAGAGAGTAACATCGATCTGTAAGAGCAGTATCAACCAGTTGTCTTTCGCATGCCTGCAACCAGGGACCTGGCCTGCAACCCAGGCATGTGCCCTGACCAGGAATCAAACGGGTGACATTTTGCTTTGCAGGACGATGCCCAACTCACTGAGCCGCACCAGTCAGGGCTGTTACTGTTGATTTTTAGGTTCAGGCAAAAATCATCTGAAAAACTTAATTCCTTCTATTGTGTCCTAAATAGTACATTCAACTAAGAAATTCCATAATAAAAATTCCACTAATATCCCTTTCTGAGATTATTGTCCCGTAAATGAAAAAAAAATTTTCTTTTGTTTATTCAAGCTGAACTATTGCCATTTAGCCTTGTACCCATGTTTCCTTAATAATGGGAAGTGTTTTGAAATTTCCAGAAGCAAGCTGCTTCATAATCAAAGCAATGGGTTACGAGAAAGCCATTTGAATATGGATAATTGGAGTAGAGGGAGGTGCTCGAGGATTTCCTAAGCTGCTTCCTGCCATACAGCTTATTTCTGAAAGGCCTGCTTGGGTGCCGTGCACTGAGCTGTGTCAGTCAGTTGAAAGACGATCACGCTTTCTTGGTAAATATTTAAGCAATTGGCAGCCACAAAGGCATTTTTCCTTTATTGTTCTATATCATGTATTTATGCTGACATTACAAAAAGGAGTCTGAAAGGGAAACAGTCTTATATTTAAAATACAGACATTTTATTTAAAATATCTTAGCCAATCATTCATTACAGTCACCTTGTTTTACATGTTCCTGTCATGAGAAATGCTGTCAACATCTCCTGAGACTTTCAAGAGCTCTGTACCAAGTTGTTATTTAATCATTATGTCCTGCTGAGTGGTTTTTCCTTTAAAACCATATTTTACCACCCTGTGGCACTGAATGTGTTGCTGTGATACACAGGTGATCCTGAGCTATGGTTCTTGATATAGCTCAGTTCTTGTGTTTTTATATAATGTAACAGTTTTGTGATGCTTTTGTGCATTCTTCCTCTTCTGAGTTTTGAAATCTGTCATAAATAAACTTTTTCACTATGCACCTGAAACATTTGAGTTATATCTTAACCTAATTTACATTTAAAAATTTCATTCATCTCTCCTCTGCATCTTGAAAGGTATTCTATAAGTTTAATCTATTGAGGTTATACAAATTAAGAAAAATTGATAATTAAGCAAAATTGAGAATGAGGTTAATAATGGGTCTTTCATCTGTATTAAAGTTCATGGTAGAGTATTATGAACTGGGAGCTGGGTTTGGCCCAAGAGTGGAAATTGGGTTTAGAGTAATGATTACTGAATAGAACATTATTGAGTTTTGTCAATATTTAGTCCCCAGTGATGCTCATTTTCTGATGAATTTACTTGCTCTGTTCAAGTTTGGAACCAGTACTTTGGACACCAGGGTAATAATTAACTCAGCCTGGGCAATATTAATTTAGCCTATTTTCATTTACAAAAATGACACCGTAAGGTATCTTTGATGTCTCTTACAATGTGGCCTCTGTATATCCCTGGAGTCTTTCAGAATGAGAAGGACTCAAGTGTGAGCAGGGAGGGGTGCCATGTCAACATTTTCTTCAGTGATATCTGTGGATCCAAGTTGAGCCTGGTAGGTCTTTCTCTGCTTTCTTTTGCAACATATTTTAGAGTCTGTTGTATAAAAGAGGAAGAGATCTGAAATAATTGTGAGTTAAATAATGCACCACAACCAATAAGGAAAAGGCCAGGCATCTGTATGTAGCGAGCGATCTTCACTGAGTTATGTTTGGGTATGCTGAATATGTCACTGCTAAACACGTAACATACTGGAGGTTACTTCTTAATTTTTAATGGCACTCCTACCTGTCACATCATGGACCCTGACATAGTTCAGGGTTATATAAGGCAGCTCACACACTGCAGCTCTTGACGCTCAGCCTGATGTTCTTTAACCCATGAGATTCTGGCGAAATTCAGCAGCCATCTTACTCTAGGTATTCTCCCAAAGTGGAGTGATGCCTGCCAGGACCTTGGAATCAAGAGCTAAATAAGTCATGTTTGAAGTTAGGAGGAGCTGGTAAAATGAATGCTTATGAATATGTATATCCACCTGTTTGTCCAGTAAGTTTACTGTTTTCCTTAATAGATACATAAAAATGCTTTGGAACAACATCCTGTATTTTTTGCTTTGTTCTCAAGTCCTTCCTGCTTTCATCCTTCTAAAGTATTTTCCAGGACTTCCTACTTCCACCTAATTACCAGGATCAGGCCACTCCAACATCGGTCCTTTATCCACTATGGCCCCTTCACTGCACTGTGGGAAGACTGCACATCACGTCTCCCTGGGGCCTCTTGCACCCAGGAGTGGGCGCCTGCCGATTGTTCTTCACAGATCTAACCGCTGATGTGGAATGATGAAGGACTTAACTTTTACCACTCACTCAGCCTTTGGAGAAAAGCCCTACTGGGAAGTACCCCCTAAATAGGTGAAGATTTTAGACTGAGAGAGATCCAGCCCCTGAAAATAAGAATTTATTTGTAGACTGGAAGGAGTCACAGAGGAAGTAGTCTTCAAAACCCTTTATAGAAGTTTAGTTATTGTTAAGCCTTGGAGCTGTTTGGTCTGACCTCTAGAGAAAAGTCTATGCACTTGGGGAGGTATTTGTTCCTCCATGATTTTCTAGGGCCCCTGAAAGAGGAGAGGGACACTCAGGGAGGCCACCCACAGTTGCACAGGAAGGATATCTCATTTAACACACGTTCATGGAGTGAGGCTGGCCACCTTGCTTGGCGCTTGGGGAACAGCGGGAAGAGGAGTGCAGCTCTAGAGGAGCTTGAGGGAGCTCTGCCCTCCTGCAGAGGATATGGGGTGGAAATGTTTCTCTTCCTCCCTAAGGCACAGCTAAGCTCTCTAGGACTGGAGGATAGGGCTCTGCTCTCTCCACGCAGCCAGCCCCAGGCCCATAGAGCACAGTTCCCTATGGCGAGGGGCCGAAGCCAAGGGGCCACCTGTGTTGATGGCCTGGACCCCATGGAGGCCCCAGGGCTGGGAACATGATAGTCTCCCGCTGACTGAAAACTGCAGGCCCAGAAACCAGACGGACTGCTCTCCTTTCTCATTAGCTGTGGTCATTCAGTGAAGCCACAACCTGTACTCATCCCTCGGGTCCCCTTCCCCCAGCGCACACTCGCTTTCCATCCTCAGGTAACCCTGAGCTGGTGGCTCCCCTGGGCCTGCCCTCTGTCTGCGGCCCTGCCAGTTCCATCCCCACTCTGTTCCCCTCGCTTCCTCACGTCCCAGTCCCTGAAACCCACGGGAGGCATCAGAAAGGTTGCTGCAGGCCCTTGAGAGCGGGGTTGGTCCTGGGGTGGTCCTCTCCTTGGTTCTAGGTAAAGGAGGTAGCAAGGGTGGTCCCAGCCCTGGCCTTGAGACCAGCTTGTGTCACTTGGACTGAGTGGAGAGCTGCCACGGCTTAGATTCCAGCTTTAAAATACAAAAATCTTTACGAACCATCATGAGACAAGGAGAGGGATTATTTTCCTCCTAAAGCCAGTGCATTTGAAAACCACAAAGGTTTGGTCAGTCACTTCCTCTGGGAGGCACAGGTAATCAACGTGGGCACGTTTGCAAGGACCCTGGACTTGCCAGGGGAGCCACCTCCCAGGAGCCTAGAGTGAATTTCTTTGGCTTAGATACCTTTTTGTTTTTGTGCGGAAGGGCAGGTGTATCTGGTTTTGGGGAAAACCAATGAGAAAAGAGGGCCTCAGCAATGTCATGGGCTCCAAGGATCTCTGCTGGGTCCAGAGGAAAACACTGCATTTGTCTCTAGCCTCCCCACCCACACGGCTGATTTTCATGTTTCATTTGACACATACCAGGAAACTCCCGTTGAACAGAGGACCTGAACTGTGGGGACTCTGGGGAAAATATGTAAAGTGAGTGCTGTGCATGTGACAAGGGATGATTTCTAAATGTTTGACGACAGAGGCTGTGCGGCCTCTACCTGGTTTAGATTTCCTAGAAATCCAGTAAGCTTTTGCCATAAATTTTAGGATGGCTAATGGAACCCCGGGTTAAACAGGTTAATATTTTGATACTGCTGGCCTGGGTTAAAAATGTCTATTCTTAGAAGTCATCATGGACCAGACAAGCAGATTAGCAACAGACCCACAACAAGTGGCAGTGTTAGAGCTGGCTGATCAAATTTCCAGGAGTAAGCGGGACATAAACTCCCAGAGAGCAGGGGCACGTCTGCTATATTGCTGCCAGATACCCCCACACCCCAGCTCGCAGTCTGCGGGGGTCACGTGGGGGAGCCCACTGCATGCTGCTGGACTGGATGGAGGGGCGTCCACTATTAGCTGGAGTAGGACAGACAGGAGATTTGTTTTCCTCTAGGAAAAACCCCAGTTCACCCCCTCATACCTAGTTCTCTCTGAAATCATTCCGGGCAGGGGGACTGGTCTCAGGTGGCCTGCTTCTGTACCTTGTCCTAGATGTGGATTCTCTCTCTTTCCCTCTCTTCCCAGAAGTTTCTTGGGCTTCTCTGTTAACTGGAGGTGAGACTGGGGGGGAGAAGGGGTGGGGGAAACTTGTGACCTCAGCGCTACTGGAAATCGTCTCAGATCGTTGGGGCTCCCAAAGGCTCGTTGCTGAAAGGCAGAGCCAGCTGCCCCTCAATCCCAGGGAAGTGACAGCCGCACCCCATCTGGCCTGAGGCTTGCCTCCTGCTCTGTCTCTCCAGGGCGAGGCGGCACCCTGTGTGGGACGTGCAGGAGCACAGCCTCCCGGGTGCGGCTGCCCTCTTTTCCCCAAGTTCATTCTGTCTTTCCAGTCCACAGGAGTCCTCATCACCTTTTCCAATGCCCAAATCAGGTGGTGACTCCTGATAACCACGCTGAGATTCGTCTCTTGTTTCAAGTACAGGTTTCTTGGAGAGAGCCCAGCTGCGCCTTATCCAGCCAGGCAAGTCTGGAGTAACCTGAGAAAAGGGTCCAGATGGCAGCAGCTTTTGACAGGAGGTACCACTGTCTCCTTGTCATTGCTGTTTTAGCTACTTTCCTGTTACACTTTCTGGCTCTACCAGGACAAATTGACCTTGGGAGCTACAGTGGCTCACTGAGGTCATTTTAGAGCCTGGAACCCAGGTCCTCTAAGAGGAGAGACCACAGGGGAGCCCAGGGGGAGCGGGGGAACTAGATAGCCTGGGGCTAGGGTTGAAGAGAAAGGACGCGTGGCTGAGAAAGTTGGCTTCCCTTCGAACCAGACACACATACCTTAATTTCCTGTTTAAACCTCAGCCATGCAGGGAAAATACAATCTCAGGTAGAGGACATCAAGGTCATCTTGTTTAACTCCCATAAAGGACCCCAATCTCTCTACATCATCTCTGCCAAGCAGCGATCTTGGTTCTGGTCAAACACTGCCAGGCATGGGAACCAAAGGTAAACTGTGACCTGGTCGGTCTCCTGAGCTAGTGGGGTCAGTAGCTGTTCACCCTACCTCTGGCTGAGGCTTCCTCCAGTTCCCGGACCATTCATTCATGACTGGATTTGCCTCATGTGCCTAATCCTGCTGCCTCTGAAGATGATGGGCCTGGTTGAAGGGCCCTCTTCCCTCTCCAGCAAGGAGCTGGAGTGGAACACTTAACAACATACCATTCCTAGCCCCGGGAGCTCAGCTGTCCCCAAATGCTCTTTCCTGCTCCTTGTTTCTGTTCCCTTCCGGATCTTGTCCGATTCTCTCAGACAACCTTTTGGGCTTAGGTCTCAGGGGCCAGTCCTGCCACAGGGTGGGCAAGGGGCTGGCTGACTTCCTCTCCTGGTCCAGTCAGTATCAGGGGAACTCCCACTAGAAAGGAGGTTTGTCTTCTGGAACTGCCTTCACTGAAACTGAGCATCTCACCCTTAACCTGGAGGCCTGGGCTTCGGCTTAATTATCAAGTGGCAGTGTGGGCAATCTTTGGCGTCGGGTACGGTGGAGGGGATGGGGCGAGGCGCAGACTTCCTTACGGCTCTCCGGTAAACTTGCCAGGCCTTTAGTCTGCGTTCCCACTTCACCTTAATGACTGCACCCTCACATAGGTGGCAGGTGGTGTCCTGCCTTCCTTCCTCTCAGCATCCTCCCGCCACTCACTGACTGCTCTTATTTCTTTTTAACCCTCACCTGAGGATATGTTTTTTATTATTTTTAGAGAGAGAAAGGAGGGAGGAGGGTGGAGAGAGAGAGAGAGAGAGAAACACTGATCGGCTGCTTCCCATATGCACACCCTGAACGAGGATCAAACTCACAACCCAGGTATGTGCCCTGACGAGGAACCAAACCCACAACGTTTTTGGTGCATGGGATGATGCTTCAACAAACAGCCACCCGGTCAGGGCCACCCTGACCACTTTTTACAGGCAAGGGGACAAAGGCAGAAAGAGGTTCAGTGTGAAGGCAGATGTAGGGCGAGAGTTCAAGTTCAAGCGCTAGGAGTACAAGTGTCCTGCTTCTCCAGTTAGGGCTTCCTCATTGCCAGGCCTGGTCAGCCCATCCAGCTTGTGCTCCTGCACCAGTGGTGCGTGCTTTGAGAGCTAGGCCCTCAGCTCGGGAGGTGTGTCTGGCTGCCGGCAGGGGTGAGACACTTGGAAGGCCTCCAAGGCCAGCAGTGACTTATTGATACGGCTGATGGTAGGGTAGGGCGTGAGATCCACCTTGAACCTGTGGCAGAGAAACACCCACCTCAGACAAGGTGTGCAAGGGCACAGGGAGGCTGCCCTGTGCGCGGTGAGGGGAGCACAGACGCAGGGCTGGAGGAGGCCCTGGGGCTGGCCAGGGAAGGGCTGGGAGGGTGGCCCTGCCAGGCGGGAGGCCTTCTTCACAGACAGCTCCCTGGGGAGGGGCAGCTCTTGTGCAGCATTGTCTGGTATCTCTGTTGTCTACTGTCCCTATTCCAAGCAATGGCTATTTATTGGGAACTTACTATGTGTAAAACACAGTGCTAGATATTTACATATACAAATTCTCTCTCCACCATGTCATAAGCTTCCTGGGGACAGGGAATGTGCCACATGTTTCCATTCCCTGAAGGGAACCTAACTCAGTGCTTTCCACAGAGAGGCTCTCACTCGTGCCTTCCTGAAGGGCTGCTGGAGGGAAGCAGAGGTAGAGCTCACAGCAGGGCATGGATGCACCATGTCTGAGGACAGCGGGCTCTTGGGGTGGTTTCTTCTACGGGTGTCCACCAGGTGAGCCACCCCGCTTAGGCGCAGGGTCCACAGTTGGGCACGGTACAGGGCATTCCACTGAATACCTCTGCCCCGTTTCCTCCAGGCCACGGTGGCCCGTGCACCAGCACAGGGCCCAGCCTACAAGAGTCTCTACATGAGATGCTACCTGAGTAGCTGAAGTGGGGGGCGGAGGGGCTGACTGTGGGGGTACACAGGGCATATTGAGGGGAGGAGCCAGGAGGAAGAGGGAGGGCGGCAGAGTTCTCACTTACCTTTCAGCATTTGCCACCTGAGGCACTAAGCAGAGGTCAGCCATGGACACCTGAAAGAGAGTTGGGTGTGTCTGTATCAGGGGGTGCACCTGGGACTCACGGGCTGGGCTGGGTGTGTTACTGGGGACAGTACTGCGTTCCCAGCCTGATGTTCCCATTTGCTTCTGGCTCTCCCATCCATCCCCACCGGCCCATCCCCCTCCTTGTCTCCCCTAGGCCTGTCTGGGTCTGTCCCCAAGAGCTGAGGGTTTCTCCCTGCCCATGCTCCAGTTGCCTGACAACCAACTCTGTGGGCGGCCAGAGGTTTGACTGCCTTAGTGGACGGACTGTGCTGGGTAAGGAAGACCATCACAGGCCTTTAGTGAGGGCTCCCGGGGCGGGGGGGAGGGGCCTCAGGGTGGGGGTGGGGGCCCAGGACCCAGAATTAGCACAGGGCAGGGCCTCAGCCTGTAGGAGCCCTGGAATCTCAGAATGGAGAGGGAAGGCAGACATCAATCATCTAGACTGACTGATGCCTAGGCCAGACATAGGTCTTCAGCTTGACTACCTCCAGGATGAGACTTGCTTCCTGTGGAGGCAGCTGACTAGGAATGAGCAGAGGGGCTCCCTGTGAGCTACCTTTTGCTTGGCTCAGAGAGGACAACCTTGTCCCTTCTTCTCCCCCACCCCCACCCCTTCTCAGGAGGCCCTCTGGGCTGAGCCTGCCCCGGGGCAGAGGGCGATGGCTGAGCCTGCACCAGAGAGGCGCGTAGGGGCCGCTGTGGGCAGGCCTGGGAGGGCTCACCTCGTCTCCCACACAGTACTTCCCTGCTGTGCTCTGCAGCATCTGCTCCAAAGCTGTGGGGGGACATAGGAACAATCTTACTTGGGGCACAGCAAGGGAAGATCAGCCTTTCTGGGCCTTGGCCTTCCTAGTACGGAAATGGGGGGCAATCTGAGTGACAGGCTGGGGCACGTGTGTGGAAGAGAACATGGCAGCCAGACCCAGAGTGAGCTGATAGAGACGTGGGGATGAGAGGATGTTTTCCCAGGCTCCTCAAGTCCAGCTGCCATTCCCCCAGGGGACACAACCCGCCACAGGCCAAGGCAGCAGCTCTTACACTGACAGGCTGGCCCTTTGTCGGCCTCGGTTTTCCAGCCGGAGTGGGCAGGAAGCAGAGGTTGGGCCATCCAGCTCCAAGGGGCCCCAAGTACTGAGGTTCCCAAGGCGGAGGCCAGGTTTGGATGCCGCGCGGCCCACTGCCCCCTCAGCCCTGCCCCCAACCCTCATCCACGCCCCTGTCCAGACCAAAGAGCCTGGAGAGCTATTTCAGATGCTCAGGCCCATTCTTCTGAGATGTCACCTCAGGGCAGCTCGCAGGAGTAAGGACTCACCGTTAAAGCCAGAACTGATGGCCTTCTGGGCCCAGGTCAGCTGGCTCTCCTGCCCTACTTGCTTCAGGACAGACAGGTTCTGTGCAGCCCAAGGAAAATCCGTGATTGGCTTTGGGAGCCAGGCTGGGCCTGCTCAGGCAAGCCCCGCCAGGGAAGCTCAGTTCCCATGTTCTCCTCCCCCGACTTCCCCCAGCTGCCACAGTCTCAAGCTGCCCCAGTGGTCCCTGTCATCTGGAAGCCTGTGACTCTGGCAGAAATGTGCAAGGGTGGGGCACAGGACACTGCCAGGCAGCAATGATGGTAACCTGAGGCCTCTCTCCCTGGCATCCCTTCTTCCTTACAGAGTCCTTGAGGAGTGGGAGAGTGATGCGGGGGGCGGGGGCGGGGGCGGGGTGGCGGTGGCCCGAGGGCAGACAGGGAAGGCACAGAGGCCTGGCTTTCAAGAGATTTGGACTCTGGCTCCATCCTTGCACTTCTGGAGCCATTTCACTTCTGGCTTCAGTTTCCTTGTCTATGAAGTGAGGATGACTGTCTGCTATAACTTCCTCTGTTACAAAAAACAAAGTGACATGGGGGTGGAGGGACACAGGTGCACAGCTACTAGTCCTGGGCTCTGGTCCTTGCTTCATCATACTTAGCTGAGTGACTGCAAAGTCGCTCGTCTTTCTGGGGCTATTTCCTCATTTGCAAAGCCAGGTGTTACCACAGATGAATTGTTTTATTATCTTTTTTCCCCTTTTTTTTAAATCAGCGATAACTTTAGAAAAAATAAAGATCTCATGGGGATCCTGATCTGTCATACAGAACAGATGCATGGGAGACTGCTCTGGTGAACTAAAGACAGGAGGCCTGGACCTGTGCTGCTCAGCTGCTCCCTGTCACCTGGCCCTTTCTCCCTCTAGCACCTCTGGATGCGTCCTTGGAAACTGAGGGCTTATGGGACTGTAGTTGGGGACCCAGCGGAGGGGATGATTTCTGGGGTCCCTCCCCTTCCCCCCACCCCAACATGTGATTTCGGTCTAAGTCCTTGACAATCCCTCCCTGTCCTTCCGCCCCCCTCACGTCCAAGCTGGGCACCTCGCTGCGGGCTCACCCCAGCCAGTGTGCAAGTGTGGGGGTACGCGAGCGCCGCACCTGCAGGGGCTGGATGCCGCTGGTGATGAGGTTGGAAATCACGCGCACGGAGGCCCTCTTCTTTGGGTCCTGAGGCAGGAGTCGCGGGGTGGGCCGAGTCTCCTCCAGGTACTCGATGATGGCCAGCTGTCCAGCGGGAGGAGTGAGGGGAGCCCAGAGAGGGCCCAGGGCCCCAGGGCCAGACGGGACAGGGCCTGCAAACTCTTCCTCCTTGGCCTACTCAGCTCCAACCCCATGAAGCCAAGAGGCTCCCCAGGGGGACGAGCTCTTTTTGGACCCTCATCCTGCAGAACTTGGTTCCCCATATGCTAGAGTCTCTCTTCACTTCCTAAAGCAACCAACCACCCTTCCTCCTTCGGATAAAGATTTATTGTTTCCCTACTAAGCGCTAGGTGCCTCGGCTTTATGCAGACATGGAAGAACCATGAGCTCCTCTCCCTCAGGGCGCCATTCCCACGAGGGGCCCCCCAACCCTGCACTCACTGACTGGCCAATGGTGATGCCATCGATCTTCAAGGCTGGCACCTGCTTCATGGGATTAAGTGCCTGGAATTCCTTGGAGAACTGTGGACAGAAGGCCCTGGTGGGTGGGGTGGCCTGGCCTGAGTTGGCTAAAGCAGAACCAGGCAAGCAGGAAGGTGCTAGGCCTGCTGCCTAGCCCTGCACCTCCCTCCCCGGGGGAAGGCCCAGGCTCCCAGGCCCAAGGCAATGCCTGAGCAATCTGTGTAGCATCCCAACCTCCAGTGGCTGCTGAGCTACAGGCTTCCTCCCACATCATTGGTCACCAAAGTACATCCAGAGGGCCCAGCATGGGGCAAGGACCCGCTCGCTACCCACCCTGCTGGGGTCAGGCACTGAGAGGCCAGGCTGTGGTATGGAGCCTGAAGCCTGAGTCCTTCCCATGGCTGCTCCTGCTGCACAGCTTGCCACCCATTCCCATGAGAGGGAGCCAGCAGCCTCCTTGGCCAGAGGATCTCTTGGGATGGACTGCGCCTCCTGATGGGCGCCTCTCCATGGCCTCCAACCCCCACACTGTGGCCCGTGAGCAGCCTCCTTACCTGCTGGCCTCCATCCTTTATGAGGTTGACGGGCACTGTCTCATAGTCGATGCCCTTCAAGGCCAGAGCTAGGAGAGACAACAGACAGCAGAGTTGGGGGACAGCCTCCAGCCCCACTTCCCAGGGCAACAGCAGGCTGCAGAGAGGGGCTTTCTCCACACTGCTGGGTGGTCAAGGCCCAGGACAGCCTTCTCCCCTCCTCTCCGGCTTCCTTGGTCACCACCCACTCCCCCAACCCAGGCCCACAACGCCCCACCTCTCTTGCCCTGGCACACTGTGGGCTCTGGAGGACAGCAGGGAAGTGTCCCCCCTCCTCTCTGCCCCTGCCAGGGCCTTAAACAGGGCCAAGCAGGGCTTTGTGTGGGAGACATGCAATTATTCCCTCCTGAGGGCATCTGAGGGCCAAGGGAAGGGGCTCAAGTGACAATAAAGTGCACACAGGCAGACATTGTTGAGAGAACAGTCACTTTGTAATCTACTTTCTTTGCTCTTTGTTTACTACAGATTACAAGCAGGGCATCAGGTTCTTTGATGGTGTCAGAGCATCTGCCCTGACCCCCAGGGACCAGATTTCCTCTTCCCTTTGATGATTTCCCCTGGCAAGGCAGGGTAAAAACCCTCAGTCAACGTGTATGTGTGTGTGTGTGTGTGTCTCTCTCTCTCTCTCTCTCTCTCTGCCTGCGCGCTTGCACACTAAAATGCAGTGTGGGCCGGCCTCAGGCAAGGGCAAAGGAGCTGGGGGAGGGGACGAGATGTGTCACAATCTGGAGAGAGCCTGGGACACGGGGCTCCTCCTCAGCACTGGTCAGCTCCATTCTGGACAGTGAAGGTGGCTGGGGCCAAGTGGGAGAGACAGGCACACAGGCCCTGCAGAGACGGCACTCCCGCTGCTCCGGCTCCTGGCCCAGCCAGGGCAGAGGCTCCGGGCCCAGGGGCGGCATCCTCTCGGGGAAATGTGTCCTCTGGCACCCCAGTGCTCTTACCTGCTGATTCCAGCAAATACCAAATGCCTGTGGGATGGGGGAGGGGACATGGAGGATGGCTTCCTAGTTAGGGCCAACTTCAGACTTCATCACATTCCCTTGCTAGGTTGTGAAGCCTCGGGCAAGTAACTTTCTAAGCCTCTGAGCCTCAGTTTCCTCATCTGTTCAATGCCGGCCAATAACAGTACCTGCCTTGCAGGGTTGTTGACGTTTAAAGGGAAGTAGGCACACAAAAGCACTCAGCACCTTCTCCCTAATATGAGCTGCTAGGACCAGGACCTTCACCAAGGGCCGTGCTAAACTGAGGGAGAGATTAAGCTGGGAAGGACAATGGCCAGTTCTGTTTAATTTGCCACATCAAATAAGATAAGAACAGGGGAAGGCCAGCTGTTTCCTGCCAGTTACCAAGGTCCTCTAGATTTTGTGAGCCTGCTTTAAGCATGGTTGCTAAGGAGCTTTGGAGGGCACGGCGGGCGAGGCAGCAGGCCCAAGAGAAAGAGCAACCCCCCTGTCGGCCTCCCCCACTCTCATCCTGCTGGACTTCCTGGGTGGAGGTGCCATTCAGTGCTGAGGGCTCCAAGAGACTGAGGCCGCTGGTTGCTGGGGTGAAGCCCTGTCCGATAGACCACCCCTCTGTCCAGGCCATCCTGCTCCCCAAGGCCGCAGGGGCGTCCAACTTTTTGGCATTAATGTGTGGGCGACACATTAAATACATTGTGATACACAATCACAAAAAAGCCTCATAACGTTTTAAGTAAATTTACGATTTTGTGTCGGGCTGCAGTCACCACCATCCTGGGCCACCTGCGGCCCGTGGGCCACAGGCTGGACACCCCTGCTAGGCCTTCCTCCACCCTATGCCACCCTCCCAAGTCTCTTGGTGGAGGCACAGCTCTTACCAATTCGAACTCTCCAGGAGCAGGAGCTTCGGAAATAGGAATAGAGGATGGGCTGAGGAGAGAAAGGACAAGGTGTATGTTAACCTGTGCTTGGTCAGTTCCCCACCCCAGGAGCCCACTGGGGAGGAAGCACTAGTCCCCAGGTAGGGGTTACAAGCCAGCAGTTTCTTCCTGCCCTGCCAGGCCTCCGTCCTCAGGCCTGTGTCTGGGCAACTCAGGCCAGACTCAGAACAATCTGGATCAGAGGCCTCAGGAGTCCGGTGGAGTCTGGCAGCTCCAAACTCTGCTGTCCTGCATTCCTGAGGCCTGACAGGCCCCCGAAGGGGCAGCCAGGCTGCAAGCGCCCTCCTTACCTTGCCAGACTCAGTCATGGTGCTGTGGTGACCCTTGGCCTGAGGAATGTCCCTTGTCATAGAGCAGCAGGGCAGCGGGAGGGATCCCGAAGGGGCGGATCCCATGAGCCAATGGGGAAGCTGTGCTAGGCAGGCGTTGGGGGAACTTTGACTCGGATCAGAAGGGGCACCTCTTTCCCACTTGTGGGGAGTTTCTTATGCTGCTGGTGGAGTGAGGCTTGGTGCCCTGGGCAGACAGGGTAGCCTGGCTTTGAGGTAAGTAGTTCATGTGGTGCAGCGGGCTGGGAGCTGGCGGGCTGGGGTCCGGTCCCAGGGCAGGAACCAACTGCGTATGACCTTGGACGAATCCCTGCCTTCTCTAGTTCAACACCCTCATCTGTAAAATGAAGAGTTGCCCTAAAATGATGGCCTAGATTCCTTCCAGCAGTAGCAGAAAGACCAGGAATTCTAATCCTTGATGCTTTGGTGCCCGTTGCTTTCAAACCCCTCACCCACCAGTCCTCTGGGCTATTTGCTGGTCTCATAAAAATAGCTGGGATATATGCCCATTCACTCCAAAGCTGAGGCTGCAAGCTGGCAGCCCAGTGTTCTGTTTGGTCTACATGGTGTTTAAAAATGTTTGTTACATTTGGCTCTCCTCCTATCTGTAGGTGTGGATTCAACCAACTGCAAATTGAAAATATGCAGAAAAAAATTACATTGTTATTGACGTGTACTATGCAGTTAAGCCTACAATGGTTGCTTTGCTTGGGTCTGTACCAAATATGTACAGACTCCTTTTTTCTTATGATTATTTCCTAAACAATACAATAGGACAAATTACTTACATAAAAGTTATGTTGTGCTAGGTATTTTAAGTAATCTAGAAATGATTTAAACTATACTACACTCTTTTATATAAGGGACTTGAGCATCCTTGGATTTTGTAGCCATGGAGGGAAGGGGTCCTAGAACCAATCCCCCATGAATATCAAGGGATGACTGTCATTGCCAACGTTAAAACATCAGGATGTTTCATCTACAAATCCTGTTATCTATTTTTTTCTTTAAAATATCTGGAGACAAAGGACTTGGCTTCCTGAGCAGCAACTGACTGGTGCCAGTTAACAGTGCCCTTAACTCAGAGCCTGCTCTCTCTGAGCTGCCACAGCCCCCGTTTGGCTTGCTTCTCTCTTTTTTGTTGTCTGCAGGTCCTGGAGGCAGCTGAGTGTGTTCTCTCCTCTCAAGTTCAAGGGACTCCAAGTTCATTCCTCTGGTGTTTCTTGGGTAACCTGCATTTCAAAGCAGTCCCCAGCACAGAGTCACTAGTAATTAGCACTCATGAATCTTCCAGCAGACACATGTGTCCGTATAGATGAGGGAGATCTCAATAGAATTTGTCTACTATCCCTCTGACTGCAGACATTTCATCCAAGTTCCCCCTCCCCTTTGCATCCCCCAGTACGTCAAGTTGCTATCTGAACCTGCTCACACCACCCTTGAACCACCTACTCTGTCTTATAGGTGGGCGAGGGCCCGTGATAACTAAGGCCATTCCAAGCTGGTTTCTGAGCCAGAGAGTTGCAGCCTGTACTGAAGGCGACTTCTGTAGGGCAAGTGCAGGTGGTCCTGGCACAGAGGGCAGGTGATGGGGAGCAGGTGTTCTCGGAAGGGCGTCAGGAGGGTACAACCGGATGTTCTATATTTGGAGGTGTATCCTTCCCCTACCTGGCCAGGCTAGAGGGGCCCCTAGGGCCAAGACAGGGACTGCTGGTGAGGTACAGGACCACTAGAGAGTGGCCGACATCAGCTTAGAATCCTTGAAGAAATTCTTCCCTGGTTACTAAATGTTACACCTTTAACTTGTACTAAGGGTGACCAGAGTCACTGTAAATGCCAATCCTCTCAGGCTTTCTACTTACAGGCCATCAGGAGACATACTGAAGGGCAGTTTCTACTCATTCTTTTACCAACGATAATCATATAAACCATCCCGTGTTCGTTTTTACCCTTGTAGAGCTAAATTTTAAGCCCAAGTAAAGTATCCATCTCATCACCACCCTTGAAGAAATTTTGTTTCCAATTCCAATATACATTCTGACCACTCAAGCAGATTTTATTTTTGAACCGTCTCTTAAACATGACTTTAAAGACTCCTAAAATCCCACTTGGGAATGAGAGGGCTCTACATTATTAAAGTGATGTTATATTCCACCTGATGTGCCTACTTCCCTCCTTTGAGCAGCAAGAGCGGTATTCAAAATTTTCCAAGATTCCTCTGGGGAGCGTATTCAACATGCAAATCCTTGCGGGCGGGCCCAGGAACCTACTCAGGTCATTGTGAAGTGCCACTGCCTCTCCTCGCCCCTCGTGTTCTCTTAAAATGCATACAATCCTGAAAGGCCATACATTTGGGAGCCCTCGTAGAGGGGAATCTTGCGAAGTGCGAGGAATCAGCGAGCGACTCGATCTCACCAGTGTGAGCCAACGTGAGCCACCCTAGACCAGACCCCAGCAGGCAGCGTGCAGGCGCAGAGTGGGGGCAGCGCGACGCACTGCAAGCTGGGAATCTCTGTCGGAACTGTTGGGCGGGGCCGAGGGACACCTTTTGATCCCGCCCAAGCCAGGTTTCTCAGTGTTTGAGTAGCTCCCCTTTCCGCGGATGCGTCACACAAACCTTCCCCGCTTGCATCTCGCACTTCGGGTGACCCCCTCTCCAGGACCGCGAACTTCACGGCTGGGACTCTCCGACTCTCCGACTGAGGCCCAGTGGGCCAACGACACGTCACAGCCTAGGCTTAACGTCTCGATAAAGCGAGGGGCTGGACTAGAATAATCCTTACGGTGTCTTCTAGCTCGCCCCGCCCTGCTGCCACGCCCCCAACCCCGACGCTGCTGGGAATTGCAGTTCCTTGAGCCCATTTTCTCCCCGGCCTGGTCCGGCCCGACCCGCCTCGCCCTCGCGGTCCGTCATGCTCTGCGCCAGGAGCCACCTCCCGGCGGCTGGGGAGGCCACCGCACTACCCGCCCAGCCCAGAGGTCGGGGTCCACTCCCCGCTGCCGGCGCAGGGAACTACATTTCCCAGGGCACCCCGAGCTGTCCTTTTGTGGCTTCTTGGCGGGACGGCTAGCAAGACCTAGCGTGCCTACGGGCCGGAGGGCGATCCTGGGAAGGGGAAGGATGCCGTCGGCAGTGGGCAGAGGCCTGGCAGGGTTCGAGCTACGTCCCCGGAGGGGCCGCTGTAGGCCTCAGACTGCTATAGCGGCGGGCCCGGAGAGGGCCGCGGAGGCTGCAGCGAAGACCCCCAAACGGCCTGCTGGCGATTCGCGGCGCTTCGAGGCGGCCTGCCGGTGGGCCCTGCTGGCCCTGGTGACGCTGCTGTCCTTTGCCACCCGCTTCCACCGCTTGGACCAGCCGCCGCACGTCTGGTGAGTCATGGGTGGGACCCGGCAGGCACCTTGGTAACCGGGAGGAGAGACGCGTTCTCCTATTGGCCCTGGGGCACGGAGGGGGCGGGATTCACAAGAAGGGCGGAGCCTCGCTGCAGGGGAAACTGAGGTTTTTGGTATTTGCTTCTGGCTAATAACAGTGTGCATCTCTGCTTTGGTGGGTGGCGGTGGGATCCTTAGGATCCGAGGAACCAGTGTTTATGCCTCCCCAGTTATGCTACAGTGTCTCACCTGACTCTCAAATTGTGGCCCTTAAAGGTGCTTTGACCTTTCCAAGGAGAACCAGAAATTCTTAGTACTGAATTTCCTAAGGCCTCAGTTCCTAATATGCAGAATTTCCAGGCATCAGTGGAGGGAAAAATTCTTAACTGGGTACCTTCATCCTTGGGAGCAGGGACAACTTGGGAATCCTGGGATAGTGACAGGGATGCTAGGCATCAGGTCTGGGATCATCCTGTGAGGAGAAATTTGTTTCCTGAAAGGTGTTAGTTTGTAGAGTCAGTTGTAGGACTGAGGTGTGGTCAAATTTCATTAGATAAGCTTTAAAAAGGCGCCAACTGGCAGGAGGAAAAGTTGTATACAATCTGAAAATGGTTAATTGGTTCGGCCAACAAGTGATACTGCATTTTCTCATCACTGAGGAGAAAGTTAGTGTACGGGATTTTAGAAGTGGAACTCCTAGACTAAAAAGCAAGTAAACTAAGAAACTATCAGGGCTACCCTACTTGGAAGTTAATAAATTAGCTTGTTGTTTCATGAGGTTTGGCAGAAGACATGAGAGTCCTGGGTCAGAGACAAAGGACCTGTTACTGTGATACAGGAAGCCCGATGAACATCAGTATGTTGGAGTCTGTTTCCCTCGTTCCCCCACGTTCCACAGGGTGAATGTGATTGGCTCAGATGGCTGACTGCACACATAGTGGGTTTCCTTGCAGCTGAGGAACAGCAGCTTGGAGAAGCTACTGTTTTACAACAAGCAGCAAGCAAGCTTACTCTTTGTCCTGGAGAGAGACATTACATCATCTTTCAGGGTTCCTCGGTGTAAACACAGCTCCAAGAAATGGCCCAGGTAAAGTGCAAATCAGGGTCTTGCATTCTTGGCATATCCAGCAAGATGTGTGGAAGTACAAGAGACCTGCGAGGACTCACCCCTGGATCCTATACTGTCTTGGCTTCTAGCAACTTCTCACATGAATATGCAACTCCTTTGGCTGCCCTGATTAACCTGGCTGACAGCAGCAGGGACCAAGTCTGTTGTCTCATACAGCATTTAATCAAGGCTGCTTTCAACAGGACTCTAAGCAGCAGGATGAGGACAGCCTGTGGTACTGGGTTGGCCAAAAAGTTCATTTGGTTTTAAAGTAAAGAGACACATTTTTCACTTTCACTAATAACTATTGAACAGTGAATTCACTGCTTTGTTCCACTACCTCTGCCATTTTTCAGGCGACCTCATAATTCCATCATCCCAAAACTTTTTATCTTTTTGAGCAAAAAAAAATTCCAGGTGCCTTTTGCAGTCTTCCAGGGAATTGAAATTTTTTCCCATTAACTGAATTTTGTGAAGACCAAAATAAATGGAAATCCAAAGGTGTGATGTCTGGTGAATAGAGCCAATGAATCAGAACTTCCCAGCCAAGCTGTACCAGTTTTTGCATGGTCATCAAAGAAACACATGGTCTTGCGTTATCTTGATGGAAGATTAAGCATTTTCTGTTGACTAATTCCAGATGCTTTTTGTAGAGTGCTGCTTTCAGTTGGTCTAATTGGGAGCAGTACTTGTTGGAATTAACCATTTGGTTTTCCAGGAGCTCATAATAGAAGACTCCCTTCAAATCCCACCATATACACAACATCATTTGGATGAAGACAGGCCTTTGATGTGGTTGGTGGTTCATTTTGCTTGCTCCACAATCTCTTCTGTTCCATGATATTGTAAAGTATCCGCTTTTTATCACCCATCACAATTTGTTTTAAAAACAGAATGTTTTTGTTATGTTTAAGTAGAGAATAGCATGTGGAAATAAGGTCAAGAGGGGCTTTTTTTGCTTAACTTATTTGGAACCCAAACTTCAAAGAGATCAATATAACCAAACTGGTGCAAATGGTTTTCAGTGCTTGGTTTGGATATTTTGAGTATGTTGGCTATCTCCTGCGTGGTATAACATTGATTGTTTTCAATTAATTTCTTGATTTGATTGCTGTCAACTTCAGCTGGTCTGTCCATCCGTGGAACATTGTCCAGAAAGAAATCTCCAGCAAAAACTACAAACCACTTTTGACACATTCGATCAGTCACAACCCCTTCTCCATACGCTGCATAAATCTTTTTTTTGTGTTTCAGTTGCATTTTTACCTTTCTTGAAATAATAAAGCATAATATGCTGAAAATGTTTCTTATTTTCTTCATCTTCAATATTAAAATGGCTATGCAAAAATTCACCAATTTTGATGTTTTTAAAAAAATGCACTCTGATATAACAGCTGTCACAATACAATCTAATAAAATTATTTCAAACGAAGTTAAAGACAACTAAACGCTACTAGAGTCATCTTAACAGAAAAAAAACAAGTCAACTTTTTGTCCAACCCAATGGTAACCTCAACTGTGCTTCCCAGGGTCCTGGATTCAACCACCTGTGAATAATTACGTGTGGGTGTCAGGGAGTGGGGAAAGGACAAGTAAGTCTTATTTTAGATAGCTGGGGTGTAGCTTAAGACCAGCCTAATATCCATTATGATCTCTACACAGTGTTTAGACTGACCTCTAATCTTTGGTGTCATTGTCAATAATTATAGTGGGTCCCCATTAAAAAAAAAAAGCAACTCCCATGCCCAATGGATGTGGCCCGTTTTTCCCTACATCCTAATATATTACCTGAAGGGGTATAGTCACTCCAGTTCAAGACTTTTTGTTAAATTTTATTTGGATCACCATCAGATTTAACTTAGGTCACATTACAGTGTTTTGGTTAAGCCACAGTGAGTGTCACTGAGTTGTTGCAGCCTGAGCATTTGCGCACATATGGGGAGATCTGTGGGAGCTGATGTTATCAGGCACATCAGAATAGTTCAAGACTGGCTGTGTCCACGTGAGTTTTTCTGATTTCATAGCACGCTGACAAACTCAGTAGAAAGTCAGATTGCCGGCTACAACTTCCGCTTGTTTTAGGTGTCCTGCATGAATGTTTTGCCAGGCTTTGGTGCTGGACCTGGAGGACAGAGAGAGCATTAATTGTTTCCCTTTCCATTACATTTCCAGGGGTCCGAGATGTTACCTCCCCAGGTGCCAGAGTTGTTTCTTTTCTTCCACTGCCATGGAATTAGTGTGTGCCACTTAGTACCTGTAACTTGACCTCTGCTCCAGTCATCCTCTACAAATGTCCAGACCTTTTTTTGCCAGGACCAGTATTAGAAAATTGGCAGAGACCATTGTGTCTCCCACCTGGGCCCACATGAGCCACTGTAGGGGGACTTGACAAGCAGTGTCCTCAACCAACTGGTCATTATCTCTATGCTCTAGGACTGTGTCACTCGAACAAGAAAATCCAGATGACTGAACTATAATGAAGTTTGAATCCCAAAGATGTCCCCAGGCTGATCTGGAGTTGCTCTTAGGGAAAGAAAGACAAATAATGCCCAGGAATGATTTGAGGAGAATCTCAAATTTTCAAAATAGGTTTATACAACCCTCTACCCCTTTTCTCCTTATCATTATCCAGCTGGTGGCCAAGAGGAGATGAACCCTTTCTGGTGCCTTTAGTAAAGCTGCTTTACTAAAGTGTGTGAACCAAGAGAGAAGTAGAGTCAGAAATCTTTCTGAGAGGACTGTTCAGTGCTTGCCAGTATCCGATGCCTGTGGATGGGAGGGAGTGTGGAATGTCATCAGATACCTTGGCTGTTAGCCCATTATTGGGTAGTCATTGCAAAAAAGCGGGGGCACTGCTGTCAGACTGTGGCTGCTTTGGAAAGCTGATAATGACGGTTTAGTTTAAAGGGTCACAAAGACGTATCTCGAGTCAGATGATTGTACTGAAACAGCACCATCAACACTGTAATCTGAAAAAGTGTCAGCAGCAACGAGGCACTGATGAGAGCCCAGAGGGGTAACCGAGTCCTAATACAGTCCGCTTGCTTGGAGCAGGCAGCGTCCATGCCCTGTGCCATGTGGCTTCCTTTACTGAAAGACTAACAGGCCAATTTTGGCAGGAGTCACAGGCCCCCACAATGTAGTGATGGCTTGTGCTTCAGAAACACAGAATCCTTTACTTTACACCCAGTTCATGATGGTAGATGTGTTTTCACGCCTGGTGCAATGGCAGCAGTCTGGGCAGTACAGGCTTGATCAGCAGCTAATTCCAATCAGTTTGATGAGAATATTGGCTCTTCTGTAGTCACCCATGTGAATGATCCAGATTGTCCCATCAGCTGGCAGCCATGATTTTATCCTATAGTTCTCAGCTCCAAAGAGGGTTTGTTGTTGGTTTTTTTTTAAGGATTTTATTTATTTATTTTCAGAGAGAGGAGAAGGGAGGGAGAAGGAGGGCAAGAGAAACATCAGTGTGTGAAGGAAACATCAGTCAGTTGCCTCTTGCACACCCCCAACTGGGGACCTGGCCCGCTACCCAGGCATGCGCTCTGACAGGGAATCAGACCAGCGACCTTTCAATTCGTAGGCTGGCACTCAATCCACTGAGCCACACCAGCCAGGGCTAAAGAGGGTGTTTTTAATTTCTCAGTCCATACTCTGTCAGGGGTGTCCAACCTGTGGCCTGCGGGCCACATGCAGCCCAGGCTGGCTGTGAATGTGGCTGAACACAAAATCATAAATTTACTTACAACATTATGAGATTTTTTTGTGATTATGTGTCTCAGTGTATTTAATGTGTGACCCAAAACAACTCTTCTTCTTCCAGTGTGGCACAGAGATGCCAAAAGGTGGGACACCCTTGCGCTGTAGTCTTCCAAGGGACAAGCCAGATGGCTAGGCCAATGGCAAATGCCCAAGAGTAAATAAAAATATAACTTGTCGGTTTCTTAGGAGTATTGCCTAAGGCGAGGCTGAGGACTTTCAGTTCAGACCGTTGTGCGGATCCACCCTCACTGCAGTCAGCCTTCTGGAGTTGTTGTGGGGGCACCGTCAACTTTTAGTGTAGCCTAGCCATCAGCGTCCCATGCACAGCATTGAGGAAAACTTCTGTGAAAAAAGGGCTCCACTGAGATTGCGGTGTTGCTTTAGGTGGTAGGGTGGAAGATAATTTTTCCCAAAAGGGCCGCTGCCACCTCTGTGTAAAATTTGGATGCTTCCAGGGCCAGGTTGGCTATTGTCTTGAATATACCCTTTCCATTTGACCAGCGAGGCTTGTTGAGCCCTTTCCTTGTTAGGCATAGATTCCAAGTTGAACCACTCCAAAGAGGCAGGGGTCCTAAGGCCTTCATGGTCAGGCGCTCCATTTCAACCAGAGCTTAGTACTGTAGTAGGTCGCTAGTTGCCTCTTTAAAATGGAGTGTGCTTGGTGCCTGTGTCCAGCAGGAGGTGCTGTTATCCTGGAAAATGCGGCTATTCCACCTTTATTTTTTGAATTTTATTGATTATATTATTACAGTTGTCCCAATTTTTCCCCTTTTTCCCCCTTCCACCCAGCACCCCCACTCCCTCTGGTGATCCCCCCTCCTTTGTTCATGTCTGTAAGTCATGCATACAAGTTCTTTGGCAACTCCAATTCCTATTACTTTTAACATCCCCCCATATATTCTGTAACTACCAATTATACTTCTTAATGCCTTCACCTTTTCCCCCATTCTCCCCAAACTGCCCCCTCACCCTCCACTGGCCACCATCCCAGTGTTCTCTGTATCTGTGACTGTTTCTGTTCTGCTTGTTTGCTTTGGTTTTTTAGATTCAGTTTTTGATAGTTATGTATTTATTGCCATTTTAATGTTTATAGTTTTGATCTTTTTCTTAAATAAGTCCCTTTAACATTTCATGTAATAATGGTTTGGTGATGATAAACTTCTTTATCTTTACCTTGACCAGGAAGCACTTTATTGGCCCTTCAATCCAAAATGATAGCTTTGCTGGATAGAGTAGACTAGGTTGTAGGTCCTTGCTTTTCACCACTTTGAATACTTCTTGACAATATTTTCTAGCTTGCAAAGTTTCTTTTGACCAATCAGCTGACAGTCTTATGGAAACTCCTTTGTAGGTAACTCTCTTCTTTTCTCTTTTAGGATTTTCTCTTTATCTTAACCTTTGGCATTTTAATTATGATGTGTCTTGGTGTGGTCCTCTTTGTGCCCATCTTTTTTGGAACTCTCTGTGCTTCCCGGACTTGTGTGTCTATTTCTTTCACCAAATTAGGGAAGTTTTCTTTTATTATTATTTTTAAATATTTTATTTATTTATTTTTAGAGGGGGTGGGGAGAAAAAGAGGGAAAGACACATCGACTTGTGGTGATACATTAATGGGTTGCCTCTCACATGCCCCAGGCATATGCCCTGACTGGGCTTCAAACCAGCAACCTTTCAGTTTGCAGGCTGGCACTCAGTCCAATGAGCCATCCCACCCAGGGCTCTTTTATTATTTTTTAAAAATAGGTTTCCAATTTCTTGCTCTTTCTCTTCTCCTTCTGGCACCCCTATGATGCAAATGTTGGAATGTCTGAAGTTGTCCCAGAGCCTCCGTATACTATCCTTGACGTTTTTGGATTCTTTTTTCTTCTTGATGTATGAATTGGATGTCTTTTGTTTCCTTATGCTCCAAATCATTGACGTGATTCTTGGCTTCATCCACGCTACTTTTGATTCCCTGTAAATTGTTCTTTATGTCCATTAGTGTCTCCCTCATTTCTGATTGGATCATTTTATGCTGTTGAAGTACTCACTAAGTTCCTTGAGCATCCTTACAAGCAGTGTTTTCACCTCTGCATCTGATAGGTTGGTTATCTCCATTTTGTTCTTTTTCTGGAGTTTTGATTTGTTCTTTCATTTGGGCCATATTTCTTTGTCTCTTCATTTTGGCAGCCTCCCTGTGTTTGTTTCTATGTATTAGGCATTTTGCCTTTTAAAAATAAATAGAAATTCATGATATAGAATAAATATAGATTTAACTTAAATTTATGATTAAATTTATCGTTAGTAAATATTTGCTAACCTTTTTTGTTTGTTTAAGTAAAGATTAATGACCAGCTTCTCAAATCGCTTATGTCAAAATTTTTCTTTTTTTTTTAATTCAAATTTTTTCATTCAATGCTTGAAACTTGTGGTCTTTGGTTTTAACTGTAATTTTAACCATGGTTTATTAAAGCTATTTGGGTTGTATGATAATTTAAAAATTCTCATTTCTCTTTTTGTTTTTCCTTTAGTTGGGATGAGACTCACTTTGGAAAAATGGGAAGTTACTATATCAACCGTACCTTTTTCTTTGATGTGCACCCACCTCTGGGAAAGGTGAGCCATGTGGGGAGCAACAGCTCTCCCCTAACAGTTGGGGCCAAGTCTTGGTCTGGGATTTAATTTTTGGCTTCATGGAAAGAATTCCTTGACTTTCCAGACCAGTTGCTCCCATGGAAAATCTTTGGTGTTTTTAGGGGTCCTCTGGTCTCAAATGGAGAGAGAGCCCATCAACAGATGGGTGGGTAAGCAAAACATAGTACATCTATACACCGGGATGTCATTCAGCTCTAAACATGAAATGAAGTATTGATACCTGCTACGACATGGATGGATTTTATAAGCATTACGCTAAGTGAAGCGAGCCAGACACAAAAGGCCACATATTTTATGAGTCCATTTATATGAAATGTCCAGAATTGGCAAATCCATAGAGACAGAAAGATGATTAGTAGTTGCCAGGGGCTGGGGGGAGAGAGGTTTGGGTAGTGACTTCAAATGAGCATGGAGTTTCTTTTGGAGGTGATGAAATGTTGTGGAATTAGATAGTGGTAATGATTGTGCAACCTTGTGAATGAACTAAAAACCTCAGGGTACTTTAACATGGTGAATTTTAGGGTATATATGACTTTCATCTCAATTTATAAAAAGAAAAAAAGAAATGAGGAGAAAGAATATGTTACAGAAAGCAGAAATAGCTTCGGGGAGCTGAGGTCCACAGGGGAGTGACACTCCTCTCCTCTCCCCTGCTCCCAGTGCATCCGTTGTTTGACCTGTCCTTTCACATGGTTTATAATTAGAAAGGCCACCAATCAGAATTCATTTTTTTTTTAAAAAAACAAACACCTTGAGAAAGCTAATGAATTAGCCCCAGCATTCACTCTGTCCTTTCTTCCTAACTGGAGGCGGAGGGACAACGGGACAGGAATTTGCGTGTTATGAAGGGGAGGGGTGACCTTGAGGCCGGGCTGAGGGCAGGCCCCGGGCGGGGATCTGTGGTGACGGCTCAGGAAAGCAGTAGGGCTCGGGGCGGGCCATGGGGGAGGCCCCTGTAGACGGAGGTGAGAGGCAGGTGGGGCAGGGGGCCCATTTCAGATTTAGTTCTGAGCCCAGAGTAGAAATGTTATGCCTCTTTCTGTCTCGTTTGTAACAACAATAAAAATAAGAGCAATTGAATGCTTAGTTTATTCGAGTCACTTTAGATATATTATCTTATGCAGTTCTCAGAACAACCCATGAGGTAGGTACTGTTGTAGCCGCATTGTGCAGATGGAGAAACCGGAACTCAGAGAGTTTGCCAAAGGGGGCGGCGCTGGTACATGGCAGGGCCAAGGTCCAGGCTGGCTTTGCGTCTGCTGTCTTGAGCTTTACACCGCTCTGCCTCATGAACGTCCTGGCCTCAGTACTCAGGCTACATCTGTTACTGACACAGAATTAAGCAACAGAATGGGTTTAATATTTGCACTGGGCTAGCCGGGGACCAGACCTCCGGAGAGGAGGTTTTTCATAGGAAGCCTCGCCTGGTCTTTCAGCTGGGGACTGCCTGCCTGTTTTTGGCGTCCCCTTGTGCTGAGCAGTGAACACATTGGCAACGCTGGCTGAGTTGCTTTTACCAAAGCCTCCCCTGGCCCCCGTGGGAAGGGAGGAATGCGAGGCTTCTTTCTAAGGCTGTCCCCCGGGTGCAGTCCACTTGCTCTTCTAATTTATCAGCCGGTGGCCCTGTGCTCCCCCGGGTTGAAGGAGGATGATGAGCAGATCAGAAACCTGTGAGAGAGAGAGAGCAGAGTGGCTTTCGGAGGTTCTGAGGTCAAGCCAGTCAAAGGGTCCAGAGCCCCTTTAAGTGGTACGTGGGAGGTTTTCTCCTTCGGTACTGGGGGCCACACCTGCCACTTCACACAGGCCCCCTCACCCCGGCCTGGGCGCCTGGGTGCTCCAGTCAGATGGGTGCTTTTAAAGAAATAAAAATGCCTGCACATAGTAAAAAATTGATCAATACAGAAGGAAACAGGAGGTCAAAACCCACCTTCCCTCACATTTCTATTCTTCAGAGGCAATGGGTGACCTTTGTTAACATTTTCTTATGTATCCTCTCAGAAACTTATCCAATGGAAGTGTGTATATATTTATACACAAACAAATATTTGTTCACATGAACAACATGTTATGCAGATGGAATCAGACTAAAATTGTTCGGCAACTTGTATTTTAAACATGACGTATCTTCTTTCCATGTTAGGACATAAAAATGTACTCCATTCTTTTTAATGATGTATATTATTCCATTATATAGCTGTGCCACAGATTACTTTACCTCTCTTCAGTTGGTGGGCATTTGTGTTGTCTTCAGTTTTTAACCATAACAGAAGATGTTCCACAAACATCCTTGTACCTCTGTCTTTTTATAGTTATGCAGGTGTGTCTAAAAGATTCTGAGCAGGCAAACTAAAGAGACAAATGGACATTTAAATTGGTGTTAGATGCTGCTAAGTTTTCCTGAAAAGATGTTGTGATAATAGGCAGCCCCACCAACAGTGTGTGAGGGTGTTTGCCTCCCGACACAAATGCCAGCACCGCTATGACTATACTGTCAAAACTGCCCATTTGAGAGTAAAAAATGGTATACCACTGTTTTCATTTGCATGTCTTGATGAGTTAGGTTGAGCATTTCTTTTTCATGTGTTTATTAGTCATTTGTATTTTGGTTTCTATGAATTTGCCCATTTTTCTCATAGGTTGTTCTTTTTCTTCTTGATTTGAAGGAGTTATTTAGTCAGGAATTAGCTCAGGGTTACTTTTAACCTTAAGGGAACTCAGAGGGAGCAGGATTCTGAGCGCCTCTTGGGTACTTAACATAGTGCCAGGTGTTTTTGCCTCTACCATCACCTCTTAGCCTCGCATCCCCCATCTTACTACCTGTAGCTCAGAGATAGTGAGTATTGTGCACGATCTGAGAGCTGGCCTGTGGGGCGCAGAGACCCAAACCACCTGTGCCGTTCTCTGTGCTGGACCAGCCACCAGGCAGGTTTGTCCTCTGAGACCCCAGGTGGGGAGGAACATCCATTTTGACCGTCACCTGTCAGTTGTAATTCATCTGGGTATTTGGATAACTCTGTCTATTTTCAATACCTTTTATTACTTTATATTAAGTTAATTATATTAGATTAACTTATGGACCCTGGGATTCTTCCTTTAAAAAAAAAGGCTTTGTAATCATTAATCATTACTGCTGAACTTTGGCTTCCCAACCTGACCTGGGCTATAGAGAGTGACTCTGTTTAGAACTACTTAGAGAAAAGGGTGAGCTGGTTAGCGGTCCAAATCCAAGCCCCCCCACGCAGTGTTGCTGAGGGGGCTTTCCCTCCACACGGCCAGTGTAGTCTGCCCCTTGCCCCCGAAGCCCCGCTGGAACAGGGGGCAGCCTGGGGCTGTTACAGATGCTTGGAATCTGCTGGCAGTTTTTACGTTTGAACTGCCTCTGATTGCTTGTGTGAAAAGAAGATTCTACACTGTTGGCAGCCAAGGAAAATAGAAAGAGGCTGATCCTGTCATATATTTGGAAGGATTTGCGTCTTAGTTTACGGTTGATTTGTTCTAGTTTGTGATGTGCCAAGGTTGCCTCCCTCTGGAATACTGGAAAAAGGAGAAACCAGTCTCTGGCCTTTTGGCATTTTTTCCCACTGGGATTCTTCCCTCCTGGGAAAATGCAGCTGCTTTCCCTCTTTTCCATTTTCTCCTCTTCTCTCTATTCCTCGTGTGTAGAAACGTGGCCACTTTTCTCCCTCCTCAGCCTGACTTGGAGCCTCCTTTGCCTTCCAGTGGGCCCGGCCCCCGGGAATCAGCCCCTGTCTGTGGCCTGGCCCGTGAGCTGTCAGGTTTATCTTCTAGCAATGAAAGCGGCCGGGTGAGAGCGCCTCTGGGGCCCTGCTCGGGACTTTTTCTTCCTAAGCGTTCAGTCTGCACCGCTCCCAAGAACTTGGTCTTAATACAAGAGAGGATTTGTTTCAGGCAGTGAGCTGTATAGACAGAAGATTCTTTGCTTTGCAACAGCTGCAGGAGAAAATGTCACATTGTCAACTCCCTCTATGGACCGTTGTCAAGGGAAGTCAGAGTCTGGGTGCAGCTGGAGGGAGGTTCAGGGGATGGAGGAATTGCCTCTCAAAGGTCTCTTTTTTTTTTTGGTTTGTTCTCTTTCTCTCAGATGCTGATAGGCCTTGCTGGCTACCTGAGTGGATATGATGGCACCTTTATGTTCCAGAAGCCTGGGGACAAATATGAGCATCACAGCTACATGGGAATGAGAGGAGTAAGGTTTCCTGGCTTGACATAGCCTCACTGGACCCTGGGGCCGCGCTCAGTCAGAAGGGTTGCAGTTGGAAGGCCCGGAGTGGAGGCAGGGGCGGATGAACGGACGCTGGGGCGGGGGGGATGATTGGACCCGTTCCCTGTAGCAGAGAGTCAGTGCTGGTGTGGGTAAGAAGGGAAGGGGAGGCCGCAGGTAAAGTGGAGGTTACGTACGCAGGAGCAAGCCCACCCTGCCCCGGGTTAACCTGCCATGAGAGGCATCAGACTGCAGGTGGGAGAGCAGCCTGGGGCCCGGGCAGCCGGGAGCCTCCTGTGGTCCCAGCCTCGGCCCCGGCCCAGCAGACTGCACATTCTTGCTCTCTCGGACCACAGTTGCCGGAGCGTCGCACATCTCTCAGGGCCTTTTCTTACGATTCATGCGTCCCCACACTCCTGTCACCAGATTCTGCTTCTTTCCCATGAAGGTTTCGGGCACACGCAGCGGGTTCTCCAGTCTTTGAAGGGAGGCCGTGTGCGTGCCGGTCACCTCTGTGCCCTGAGTCCAGCTCCAGCCTCGATGGAGCACTGTGGGGACCCCAGGCCTGGAGCCAAATGAAGCCTGAAGAGGCTGACCTTCAACGTGGGGCTCTCAAAGCACATTGCATTTACAAACCCCTTTCCTTGAGAAGCTCACGCACTTTAGATAAATGCAAAGTGCTTATTTGGGCTAATCATTGGATAATTTGCATGGCCATATCATACCACACTTAACAAGAAGTGTCTGATACCCTCAGGTTCATATTCTAAGTGACCCTGTGTCTTCTTAATGCCTTTTGAACACCATATAGTGTGCATAATTGGGTATAGGCCTGACTCACTGTGGACTTGCGAAGGCCAAATGATTATCCTTGTCCTCATTCACACTAGAGCACCTTGCTTTCTGTTGACAAAGTGACAACCCAAATGTGAGAATTTTCATTCCCTTGGGCTTGTCTATTTTGATGGACAAAGTAGGGAGGTACAGAGAAGGCTTATGATTAAAAACAAAACAAAACAAAACAAAACAAAATAACCCTCCAGATACTGAAGTATGAAGCAACCTGTTTTCTAAAATTAAAATACAATCTGTAGATTAAAGAGCTATTGCTGGTATGACCGAAGAAAAGGGCCAAAGGAGAAATAACAGGAATAACAATATAATTCTCTAAAATATTAAAGCACTTTCAGAGATGTCTTTCTTGTACCACAGTTTTGTAACAGAAGCTAATGTTGATCAAGTACTTCCTGTGTGTTAATACACTTTAGGTCCTTTAATCTTCAGAGTGAACCTATGATTATCCTTCACATTACACAGCGGGGAGGCTGAGGTACAGAGGGAGAGGTGGCTTTCTCGGGGGTCACAGCTAGCCAGCAGAGGTGGAACAACCCTGCCTCGGCATCGCCCGCGCGAAGCCCCTGTGCCCTCCTGCCCACACCCTCCTGGCTGAGCCTGGCTGCTTTCATGTCAGTGCACAAGTCCATGCTCAGCGGGACACAAATGTTCCTTGATTTGATGATCAGCCCTTTCTCATTTATACGTGTTCCAGGTGGTTTTAAGTCACCACATCTGCCCTCGTTAGGGCCCCCCATCTCAAACCCGAGTTTGTACCAAGTCAAGTCGGCCCCTGAGGCTTAGCTTAGCGGGTTACTTGACTGCTTCTCTTTTCTTCCCACAGTTCTGTGCCTTCCTCGGCTCCTTGCTGATCCCCTTCGCCTACCTCATTGTGCTGGAGCTGTCCCAGTCCCTCCCGGCGGCGCTGCTCGCTGCTGCCCTCCTCACCTTTGGTAAGTCATCTTACACCATGTTTCTCAGGCAACTGACTAGTGCGCTGTGAATGTGCCTGGAAATCAACACGTCCAAAGACGTTGTCTGTGGGCCCAGTTCTTAAATAACTTTAGGATTGAAGAAATGTTTCACACATCTTATTTTATTCACTGGTAACACTTACATACATAAATGCTTACATGTAGCAAGCCTTTACATTATTGAAAGGGAGAGATGGCATGGGTAATCCCAAGGAATAGACGATCTCCAGGTTATCCACATTTGAGTTTGGACTGGATAAGAAGAGAAGAGTGTGTGTGTGTGTGTGTGTGTGTGTGTGTGTGTGTGTGTGTGAAGGAGGCTGACAATTCTAATCCTGCTTCTCTTAGGTTACTATCAAGATTAGTTTGTGCTAATTTTAGATGAATGCATGGGCAGATGCCTCAGAAGTAGCTGGGTAGCAGGGGATAATAAAATGGGAACTTAAATATTTTCTGCGGATAATCCACATATGGGTAAATGAGAGCCAATTGGTAGAAATCAATCCTATTGCTAGCCTTGCTCTTCTGAAAGTGAGTTCATGACCTTAAAGCGCTTAACATTTAAAGAAGCCCAGACCACTTTAGGTGGGTATTTTAGGGGTGGTTCTGGCCATATTTTGAAAGGTATGTTGCAAGATTACAAGGCCTCTCTGTAGAGGGTTGGCGGCTTTTTCCTTGTGTCTTTAATTCCCCTTTTTAGCTATCCATTCAGTCATTTATTCATCTTATTTTTTCCATTCAGCAACTGTTTTTAAGCACCTCCGCTGTGTTAGGCCACTTTCCCTGGCCTCGGAGGATGCATGGGTGAGACACTTACCTTGGCGCGTACTCACTAGAGGGGCAGACAGTAAGTAAGCCAGTAAGTTACTAAGTCTGTAATGTAACATCCTAAGCAGTAAGTGCTATGTTGAAAGTACGGTAGGGTAAAGAATAGAGTCTGGGGGAGCGGTCCTGTTTTCCGTAGGGCAGTCAGGGAAGAGCTCCCTGAGGAGACGGCCTTGAGCAAATGATGAAGCCACGCAGAGATGCGAGGGAAGAGTGTTCAGACGGAGGGAGCGGCGTGTGCGGTGGTCCTGGTGCAAGGCGGCACTTGGTGGAACAGCAGGGAGGCCTGTGGGGCCAGAGTGGAGTGAGTGAGGCAGAGGTGTTAGGAGAGGGGGCCGCATAGACAGGGAGACCATGCAGGCTTTGGCAGTGACGTGAGGAGTTTGTTAGTCTGAGTGAGATGGGAGAGTTTTAAGAAAGGGCATGATGTCATGAAATTTTAGTTTCAAAAAATCACTTTGGCACTTGTATGTAACATACACCTCATGTAAAACAGGAAGGCTCTATCCTAGGCGTAGGTTGTTTGTGACTGCAATAGCAAAGTGGCAGAATTCCCTTGTTGATAGTTGAAGTGAGCCGGAGCCCGTGTCTCAGGACCGCTCTGTCTGAATGAGTGACACGATGCTTCCTTGGGTCAAGAGCCTGGAGGCAGTGTGAGACACTTCTCTATCATTGCGCTTTGGTGCAACCCAGAGCTGTGGCCGTCCCCCTCCCCGATGACTCAGTGGTGACTCAGTGGCCCGTCTCGTCTAGACTGCATAAATGCTTCCGTGCAGTGAAGCATGAGGGGGACTGTTCCTTGTTGCCGGGGTGTTTGGTTCTCAGGGGACCCATCTCTGATTCCACTTTTTGACCACTGAGCTCATGTTTTGCAGACACGGGATGCCTGACTCTGTCCCAGTACATCCTCCTTGACCCCATCTTGATGTTCTTCATCATGGCGGCCATGCTGAGCATGGTCAAGTACAACTCCTGTGCTGGCAGGTCAGAGACGCTGTCTTTGGGAGTGGGAGGGTCAGAAGCTGCGGCAGCTCCAGAATTTCTGTAATGGCCAGGGACGGGGCGGGTGTCTAGAGGACTTGTCTTGAGGCTGAGTATAAGGCCAGCCAACATTTTAAAAAACTTAGATTGCCTATTTTAGATCATAAAAATAGATTTTAAAGTTTTCTATACTTTTATGTTTGCTTTATATAAGACTAAGAAAATGTCGATTATAGTTTTCAAGAATATCATTTTTACAGTGGGGGGGATTTCGGTAGGGGTTTATGGATTATGAAGGGGTCCTCATGCCTTCCCACTGTCTTATATGCCACCCCTGGGCACGGGTGCTGGTTAGGAGATCCCAGGACAACTTTATCCTTCGCATTCTCCATCTAGAGGGGAGGGACCCAGAAGAGGTTCTGCCCGGGAACTGTTTGTCTCCCCATCCTCAGTGGTTGTTACAGCCAGTTCTGCCCCAGCGATGGGAATAATGTATATAAAGATTAGCTCGAATGACCCATAGCAGTCAAGAGGATCCCTGCAGGCCTGCTAAATTATAAAGCTGTTATGGAGGGCCTGGCCTTCCCCCAGGATAGTCTTTTTCAGATCATTCTTCTGCCTCTGAGAGGGTAGACTAGGTCAGTCATTCTATGCAAACCGAAAGAACTGGCCCCACCTAGGCTTTTCCAGAAGTCAGCTTGGTCTCCCCGCGGTGGAGCTCGTTAAATGATGCTATGCTAGCAGAGCCTGATGAGTGGCCACCAGCTCCCTCTGGCTCTGGGTCATCTTCTGTTTCTGCCACGCTCACTTCCCCCTGCCGTTCCTTGAATACGCACTACATGCCAGGTACTGCGCTGGGAGCTGGAGGTGCCACATGCTCGCGTTTGGGCTGCTAAGGAGCGTTCACGGAGGCAGGGGAGGCAGCCAGCCCATCAGAAGATCGCAGCACAGTGTGCTGGATGCTCTAAGTTCAGCACACCTTGGGCCCGGCTGCCCGGGCTGGAACCGTGCCTGCCAGCTATATCACTTCACCTGTCTCTACTTGATTTCCTCGTGTTACACACGAGGATAATGACAGGATCTATGTCATGGGGTTAGTGGAGGTTAAAGGTTCATACGTGTGGAGTACTTGGAACAGTGCCTGACACAGAGTAAGTGCCCAAGAAATGCTGGCTTTTACAAGGTCTGGAGGTGACACAAAGGAGCTGACTGAACCCAGTGGCTCCTCCGGATTTCCCTCTGACCTCCACATGACGGGTTACTCCTGAAAATATGCCTCTTGTTTACTTGAAGTTCTGCACTTAGCCAAGAAACCCATGACCCAACTGCCCAAAAAAGACCCCGCTCACTCTCACATGGTGCTTCCTTCAGTCTCCGGGGTTCCCCAAACCATAGGCCCCTGGGAGCCACATGGTCCCCGAGGTTAGGAGCCCTCGAATGGAGGGCACGGCACAGCCTCTCAGCGTCCCAGCACCTCTGCCCTTTCCTGCTGCTGCCCTTGCTGTTGAATTGGGTTCCAGCTGCCACACTGAACTCTGTCTTGTTGGTTTTCAGGCCCTTCTCTGCCCCCTGGTGGTTCTGGCTCAGCCTGACTGGCATTAATCTGGCTGGTGCTTTAGGGGTCAAGTTTGTTGGCCTCTTTATCATCCTGCAAGTGGGGTGGAACACCGTGGCAGACCTTTGGCAGCTGTTCGGAGACCTCAGTCTTTCACTGGTGAGAAGCCAAGTGCTTGCAGAAATGCCTTTGCTCCCCAGCGTCGCTCAGCAGAGCCAGGCGCTTTCTCTGCCCGTGCAGCCAGCGCGGAGCGGCCGTGTCCTGGGCCTGAGGCTGCAGGGCAGCAGGGACTGGGCCATGGCCGAGAGGCTGGAGAGGTGTAAAGCGGGAGGGTGGACTAACATTCTCGAAATTCTCTTTTGGCCTTTGTTTCTGCGATGTTTTTTTTAATGCTCTGTAAACTACTCAGCCAGGAGATCCTGTCCAGTTGGGCTCTTGCCAAATGTGTGGCTGCATGGGACCTGAGGTAAAATGGTTAGGGCACCTCTCCCAACTCACAGTTTTCTTTCCCTGACTCAGGGTTCCCAGATTTGGAAGCCAGTGAGGGCCGTTAGGGCTTATTACACTATTATTTATTAAGGGCTGATTCTGTGCCAGGCACTATGAAAAATGCTTTGCCTTCATTATGTCATTTTATTTCCATAGCAATCCTATGCGGTGGGTAGTTATTACCCTCTCTTTACAAATGAGGAAATCGAGACCTAGAGAGGTAATAAAATTCCCCAGGTCAGACAGGTAGCAAGAGGCAGATCTAGGGTTCAGACTGAGGCGAGGAAGACTCCGGGCCTGAACTGTCTTATTATGACGTTTCTCCATTGCCTTTGAACCGAGTCCCGGCAAGTTCACTTGTTCATTCAGGAGCCATAGACAAGCTCTCCACTAAGTGTGAGGCACGATATGCAGATGAATAAAACAAACATCCCCGCCCACCGGAGACAACGGAAAGAAAGAGAAATAAGTAAACAGGCGATTACAGCTCATCCAACAAGTTCTGTGAGAGCACAGAGGAGGGCATGGGCCCAGTCTCAGGTGACACAGCAGGGCTTCCAGGGAGAAGCTGAGGTCTGAGGTTAAAATAAGGAGCAGTTAATCCCGTGATGAGTGGGCTGACTGAGAGCAGGAAGCTCGGGGAAAGTGCGGGGAGCCAGTCAGTGACTGGGATGTCGAGGGGACGGATGAGTGACGATGCTGGAGATACAGGCAGCGCTTGGCGGGTGGCGCAGTGACGGCCGGGTCCAGAGCGAGGGCTGGACAGGCAGCAGAGGACCGGCTCACGTTCAGTCCCCCGCACTGTTGCAGTGGTTGGGGGTCATGGAAAGGCTGGGCTTCCCACATATTCTTTATGGTCGTTTGTTTCCTTTCTTTCTTTGTTTCATTGTTTTTTTATGATTACGACTTACAGATAAAAGGTTATATATAGCGCACATATGAGGTATAAGGACTAACTCAGCCCCACGTGCCCAACCCCCCACACTGGCTGTTTGCAGGCGGCTGTGGGAAAACACCTGACTGCTCGTATCCTGTGCCTCGTCGCGCTGCCCCTGGCTCTCTACACGGCCACGTACGCCATTCACTTCGTGGTGCTGAATAAAAGGTACAGCAGGGCCCACCCAGCCTCTCGCTCTGGGTTTCCTCATGCCTCTAAGCCCGCCGGTGGGCCGTGTGGCTTCTCGGGTCTGTGGTCGGGATGATAGGAGGGGGCCCAGGGGGTTTTCCTGTTTGTTTTCTTCTAGGGTCTATCTTTTGGGCATCCAAAGTGCTCTGGAAGGCCAACACCCCCCATAAAGGATTTCCTAACAGCCGAAAGCCCCTTATCCCTAAACGAAGCCCCTTGTGCTTAGCGGGGATGGGCCACCATAAGGCTGTGCAGGTGGGGCGAGGCTGACAATAACAACGACAGCAGCTCCCATTTAATGAGTAGCTACTAAGGGTCAGGAACTATGTGCAGCATTTTGTATCCGTTGTCTCATTTAGTCGTAATCATTTTTGAGTTCTTTTGATTTTTTTTTAAGTCCCCAATTTATAAATGGGGAGCTGAGGCTAAGCACAGTTAGGTGTCTTCCAAAGTCACCTCGCTAGTAACTTGGGATTTGGACCTCCGTTCTCCTCCTCCATCGGCCGTGCTTGTCTCATGATGCCTCACCGCCACTCTGGTTGTACTTCTTCAAACTAACCGAGCAGGGCTTTTTCTGGGGCTGCCGGGAGCGCGCGATCCCCTCCACTGACCCGGCCCTCCCTGCTTCTGCCCCCCCACAGCGGCCCTGGCGATGGCTTCTTCAGCTCTGCCTTCCAGGCCCGGCTTTCGGGAAACAGCCTTCACAACGCTTCCATCCCTGAATGTGAGTGTCCCCGGCCTTCACCCAGGGCAGCAGGGTTTTCTGGGAGCTGAATTAGAAAAGAAACGTATGATAGCTTGAGTTATTTCAGCCTGCAGGTGGCAGAGTGGGAGAAAGATCCAGTTATTTCTAGAATGAATACTCAAGAGAGCAAGTCAGGATGCAGGAAGGTGGACGTCCTGCAAGCTGACCCTAAGGAGGAGCTTCTCCATTGTGGCCGCCAGAGCATCAAGGCCAGCTCTGTGGGGGGCCAGAGGAGAGAGTCTGATGAAAGAACAAGGACCTTCAGGGCCACGGGCCAGTGTCCGCCATGACATTCAGGGACTCGCGTGCATTCCCTCGTTCACAGGTCGTAACTGAGCAAGTGTTAGCCACACTGGGGGCTGTAGAGGGATGCCCTCCAGAGCACAGAGCCTGGTGTAGAGTATCTCTACACGGTGCAGCTCTGTGCGTTAAGTATACAAAGAGGGAACACAGAGAGATGGGGATTGAAGGGTGTGAGAGAGAAGTTCTGCCGGGGGTTCAAGGGGCCTGGAGGTACACGGAGTGGACTGCCTTGGAGTCAGGTCCTGGAAGAATGGGTAGCTTTCAACAGATGGAGAGGGAAGAAAGGGCATATCAGGCAGAAGAGTCAGCATGATGAAGGCCAAGGACAGGGAAAAACTCAAGGCACAGATTATATGCAGAAAAGTACTGGAAGACAAGGTAGAAAAGGTAGGTGTGGCCAAATTTTGAGGGTTTGAAACGCCAGGATGAGGTGTTTGACTTCATTACACAGGCACTGAGACCTGGTGGAGGTGATTGGGCAGGGAGGAGGCCAGGAAGGCGTGCTGTAGGGAGAAGGCACTGGTGGCAAAGTATGGGATGGCAAGGGAGCGGAGGGCAGGAGGCAGCCTCTGCAGAGCTCTTGCAGGCACTGAGCTGGGCGGGGTGGCAGCAGCCACAGAGGGAAGGCGGATGGGCGTGTATGAGGGAGATCTCGGGCGGGCGGGAGGACGAAGATGTCCCTAAGGGCTGAGCCCAACCGATTGTTTCCTAGAGGCAAGGACTGTGTCTTTTAGTCTCTCTGATGCCTTGCACAGTGAGCCCTTTAAGACGGCGAACAGAATGAGAAATAGGAAAGCAGGCGAAAAAGTTGGTTTGAGAAGGTAGGTTTTGAGTTCTGCATTGGAGAGGTGGCCTTCAGATGCTTGGGGAAATCCAGGCAATGGGGCCAGTGGGCTTGGGGCTGCGGCTGTGGCTGTGGCCCATAAGGAAACTAGAAAGAGGAAGAGGACAGGCTGAGGTCAGGCTGTTGGGGATGCAGGACGCAGGGGCCTAGGGGAGGAGGCTGCGGAGGAGTGGTTCATGAGGGAGCATGGGGCTGAGGAGGAGGGACAGAGAGCATTTCTAAAAGCAAAGGTGGTAGGCAGCACCCCGGGCTGCCTGTGCCGGTCTGCACTTGGCACTTAGAAAATGGAGCTGTGGGTGCTCGCAAATTCCTCTTTGTCGTTTAAAAAGCCTCGCTCAGCCATCGTCTGTTCCGTCAAGCTGTCCTCTCCTTACTCCTGGGGCAGGAATTCTTCCTTCCCTGCTCTTGGTTCCCACTGTGTGGCACATTGTCACACCTTTGCCGGAGCGCTTGCCGCCATCTGTGCTCATCAGCGCGTGCAGCCACCTCCCCAGGGCTGGGCTGGGCCTCGCCATGGCTGCAGCCAGCCCCTCTGCCGTGGGATCCACATGTATTTGGTACAGTCTTTTGACCAGTTGAAAGAACAAAGGAAGACAGGAGCAGGGCATCTCTGGTGGACTGAGACCTGTTCCAGTGGCCTGGGAGTGGCAGGGAAGCCAGGTTTGGGGGGAATTGAGAAAAGAGGGACAGTAAAAAGGAAATGAGCCTTGTCAGTAACCCAGGGCCTGCAGGAGAAGGGGATGTTTGTTTTTTTTCCTTTTAATGCAGAGTGAAAAAATACCCCAATACCATAAAACAGTTTCTTCATATGGTACGAGATTCAAAAGCACAAAACTGTCTTCACAATCTGTCATAACATTGTATCTTGGAGAACACTCCAGATAAAGGCATAAAGTGCTCCTTCCTTTATTCCATTGAATGTATGTCCAGGTCTTGACTGAAGGACATTGTTTCAAATCCTTCGCTATTAGAAACAATGCTTTGATAACTTCGCTGCTACCCAGCTTCCTCTGAAGTGAGGGGCGGGGCACCCTGCAGGGAACGCCCTCCCGAGGTGGCTGAGTTGACCAGTAGGAGTGAGGAGGCAGCTGTGGTCCTGTCGCAGGCAGTCCTGGGCCTGGCGGAGTCTGAGAGAGGGTGGTGAGCCCTGGGGCTGGGGAGGCCTCTCCCAGTCCTGGCGGCTCCCCGGCTTCCCGCACCGCGCCTGCTCATGCCCTCCACTGCCTTCCTCCTAGACCTGGCCTACGGCTCCGTGATCACCGTGAAGAACCTGCGGATGGCCATCGGCTATCTCCACTCCCACAGGCACCTCTATCCTGAGGGCGTTGGCGCCCGCCAGCAGCAGGTCAGCAAGGCTTTTGTGCACTTTTGTTGCAGCGACACCACACTGTCTGTGGTACTGAACCTGCCATTCCCTTTCCTGCCTCCCCCCTCCTGCGCCTGTGCTGTTTCCCCTGCTTAAAACATTCTTCCTCCTCCTGCACCCTTCTCCTCTTTTCTCTGGCCAACTCGAGCTTCTCTAGGCCTCAGCTTAGGTGCGCCCCTCTGGCCTCCGTGACCCACCTCTCCCTGGTGCCAGGCTGGGTGCCTTTGGCGCCCTTTGGTAGCCCTTTCTACATTGACTTGGGAGTGCTGCCTTCCTCCTGTCTCTTTGCTCCTTGATTGTTAGCTCCTAGGAGGCTCCAGTGCCTGGCACGGAGCAGATGATGAGTAAAGTGTGGTGGTTGTAAACACAGACCCGGGCACCAGGCTAGATTATCTGGGGTTCAGTCCTGGTTGCACTGAAGTATGACTGAACAAACTCCTTAACCTTTCTGTATCCTTAGCTTTAAATTGGGGAAAATAAGTAGTTCCTCTGTCCATCATAGGGTGGTGGTTGTGGGGAGTAACTGAGATAATATGGGTAGAGTGCACATTGGGAGGTGCCTGAGTGTTGTCTGAGTGTGTCCCTGTCCTCGGAAGGAGTGGGGGTGTGGCTGTGGTGGGCGGTGCCTGGGAGGGAGAAGCAGGCCATTGGAGAGGTTGGTGGGGTCAGATTGCGGGAGGCCTTGTGTGTTACAGTAGATTTGACGTTGTCCATAGACACAGGGGAGACATTGAAAATTACGACGAGATGTGATTAGGTCTCTCGTGTAGAAAGGTAACTCCTGCAAGAGTGTGATGGATCGAAGGAGGGGCAGACAGGAGGCCAGGAACCAGTTAGGAGGCAATGATCGTGACAAAGGATGGCGAGTGGAGGACAGGGGTAGGAATTGATTCTGGAAGTACCTCCCAGGGTGAGTGTCAGGGCCTAGGGGCCCATGGGTGCCAAGGGTGAGCTGTGTCCCTGTGTGGTTTGGAGGTCCAGGCGTACGTGTGCTAACATTTCACCAGTCAGAAATGAAGGAGGCAGGGTGGCCTGGCAGATGGAAATTTCCTTCGTGTGTTTTAGATCCGGGGCGGTCACGGGAGAGGGGTCTGAGTGTGTGGCAAATGGGTGTCTGCGACACAGCGGGGTTGGGTGACATTGCCCAGAAAGGGCGCACAGAGGGAGAAGGGCCGCTGAAGGAGCCACAGGGAGCAGCAGCAGTTAGGGCAGTGTGCAAGGTGCTCACAGCGGCGCTGGAAGAGGCCGACAAGGCGTCAAAAACCAGGAAATACCCAGAGTGCACATGGGAGCACCACAAAACCTTCACGCCCTTGAGCAAGTCCAAGCTGGGGGGACTGTATACAGCTTCTGTTCAGGAGTGTGGGCTACTGGAATCTTTGAGCTTCCTGGCTATTCTTAATACCATCATCCCTAATTTTTTTTTCTGAGAAAGCAAAGCCACTGAGATCAGCCACAATACATGCATAATTATTTTCCTAAATGCTAACTCCAAGTCTGTTTGCAAGTAAAGCAGTCATGTTTTGTCCAATTGGAGTTATAAAAATTCATGTTGCATGAGAATGCTTGTATTTCTTTTGTTTCTGGGAGTTTATGTTCTTGTTTACATAATTGGCCTAATTGTGTATATAAAGCCTGTGCCACGGGAGTGAGTGTGGAGTTAGCTGCCTCAGTTTGAATCCTGACTCGCCAGCTGATAAGCTGTGTGACCTTGAGCAAATCACTTAACCTCAGATTCCTTGTAAGTAAGGCAGGGATAGCCTTACAGCAGCATAGCAGCTCTAGCATAGAGGTCAGGCTTGCCCAGCGCCTAGAACAGTGCCTGGTGGAACATGGGGGCTGTTTTCGGTGTCAGCGTTTCGTAAGCCTTTTCCTGTGCTGGTAAAAAAAAAAAAAAAAAAAAAAGCTGTGACGCATGTGCTGTGGCTGTGTAATAGTCTGTGCTGTGGACACGCCATCATGTTAACTATTCCTCCACTGTTGGACATGTGTACTGTTTCCGGATTTTTGCTGTTAGATCAATCACAGCATTACATGTGGATGTACACACATATACACATATGTAAAGTCACTGTACACAAAATGGCTATGGGCTAAAACTTCAGGCTTCTAGGATGAGATATTTATGGAACTTTTGGGTGTCATTTGGCTACATTCTGGAAAATGTAATAGCATGAATTTTTCGTTTAGAAAGTTTGAGGCATGCACTAAATCCTCTTTGTGTACTGGAGACTGTTGCACAAGGTTTTGCGGTTCTTCCTTCTGGGAGGCTGGCCCTTTAAAGACAAGGTGCAGGAAGGTACAAAAGAGACAGATCAAAAGGCTCTTGTGGGAAAAGTCCCCTAAATGCAGAAGGAAGGAGAGAACCTTACTCAGCAGTGCTACTCCCGAGTCCTGCTGGGAAGCGTGGCCCCCCGGGTTAGTGGCTGGGGTGTCCGAAAGGCTTCAGCAGTGCTGGCTTGCTGTGGATTGTCCTGTGGCTGGTTGTGCTGATAGTGATGGTGTTCTCCTTCCTGCTTCTTCCTCCCTCTCCCCACCCTCCCCCAGGTCACCACCTATTTGCACAAGGACTACAACAACCTGTGGATTGTCAAGAAACATAATATAAACTCAGGTAACATGGCAAGGGAACTGATGCTTCTTTTTATTACCTACTCTGAGCCCTCCTTAATATTTCTCATGCCTCCAAAAGAAGGGTGTAGAGGTGGGTTTTCCTGAGCATCCTTGACAACATCTTCCCTGTCTCAGTCACCCTGTCAACCATTATTCATTGAGCTCCTACTATGTTCAAAGTGCTCTTGTCAGCCTAGGGATTAGTGGTGAGCAAGACAGAATCTCATTTCGAAGCCAGAGAGCGTGGCCAAGGCTCAGACTTAATCCAGAGGATTACCTGGACATGCCGCCAGGGGCTGGCGAATGGCCCCAGCTGGGGCACATGGCAGCTGGTCTCATTTCTAATTTAGAACATGCCACGCATTGCAGACTGTAGCATATGGTGCAGCTCAAGGTGTCTTGATATGACAGAGTATAGCTGCCGACTGGCCCTCCCTGGACTGGGCCAGTCGGGGGTCTGACAGCCCGCCAGGCTGGTGTTGGTACCTCATTCAGTGCCTGCTGACCTGCCTCTGCCCAGCCTGGGCCAAGCTGCTCGGAGGCACACCTGTCAGGCTCTTGGGCTTTATGACGTGGACTGTGTCTGGATCTTCCTCTTTTGGTCAGACAGCTAGCCCCTGCAGGCTCTGCCTTCTGCTGCGGCTGTGAGAGAGCAGAGGGCACCTCCCACTCACCTTTGAGCCCCTGCAGATTGTGCTATGCCTCAGGCGTCCCCTATGACTTCTCAGCGAACACCCCCTGGCTCCGCCTGTCTCGAGTCAGCTGCTCCTGAGCCTTTGTGGAGAGATGGCAGATGCTCATCTGATTTCGCCTTCTCTGTTCCTTTCCCCACCTCCTCTCCTTGCTGGGGTGGATCAGAAATGCGGCATACCCAGTCACTGCCTTTGTACCCCACTCCTCAGTAATATAGAGTATGACACTCTTGGGCAGGCTCTCGGTCTATACCGTTTTAACATTGGTATTGGCTGTGTTTTGATTCAACAGGCCAAACTTAAATGGCCTATCACAATGCAGTGTTACGAGGGAAGACCAGCTTTACTTCGAAAGTCAAGTGGGCGTAGGCCAAATCTTTGAAGATTCCTGGTCTGTTACTCCACTGTGGCTTTTAGGGTAAAGTAGTTGCATTTCACCCAAGCAACTATGGATTTGTGTGAAGGCAAATAGTTACCAGTACGATGGGAAGTGGAAACTGTATGGACTGAGGAGATAGCTATAAATGTCTCCCCCCGAAAAGTATGTATGAAATAAAACTTCCCTCCCCATTGACTTTTTTGATTAGTCACCTTGCTGATTAATCTTTTAAAGAAACCTTAGAAGCCCCCAGAAGAGTGGGCATCTCTATGGTTGACTCCTCTAACTCTCCTGAGAGCCAGTGATTTGTGCTGCTAAATTTGTCTTCCTGACCTTGAGTGTTGATGTCTCACTGTTTGGGATAGAAAGTTGTAAGGATTCTTCTGTGTTGCTGTGATTACTGCTGATTCTTCTTCTGTTGTCATCACCTTTCTAGATCCTGATCAGTTTCAACTTCTGGATGATACAGAGTACAGTTGACTCCTGAACAACGCGGGGGTCGGGGGTTCTGGCCTCCTGCGCAGTCAGACACCCACCTATAACTTTTGACTCCCCCAGCACCTCACTACTAATAGCCTACTGTTGACTGGAGGAAGCCTCACGGATAGCATAAACAGTCAGTTAACATGTATGTTCTATGTTACGTGCATTATATACTATAGTCTTAGAGTAAAGTAAGCTAGAGGAAAGAAAATGTTATTAAGTAAAATCATAAGGAGGAGAAAATATATCTACAGTATTTAGTTAAAAAAAAATCCATGTATAAGTAGACCAGTGTAGTTTAAACCCATGTTGTTCAAGTGTCAACTGTAGTCCTTTTTATCATCATTTCATCATTTTTTCACTGCACACTTCGCAGGTGTATTGCCAGGGACAAGATAATCACTGGTACAATTTGCAGGGTTTAACATTTGATTTTGAGGAGAGCTGGGAAAATGGTGATTTGCATGGAATTAATTTTTGGAAGACTATTTTTTACTACTAAAAGGAAAATCTTATTACTACTTGGCTTCCCAGCTTAAAACCCTTCCAGTGGAAACCTCAGGGCCCGTCAGATGAGGCCGCATTTTCTAGCCTGGCATGCGTTGTCTGGCCCCACTTGTCCACATACTTATCTGTCCCCACTCTTTGTGCCCCCTAACCTTAACCGTATGAAACCATCAGATAGTTTTGTTCTTTCCTACCTCTATGCCTTTCCCCCACTTGGTCACCTGGCAAAATTCTCCCTCTCCTTTTAGAGTCTTTTCAAACATTATCCATGGGACACCCTTCTGTAGTCCTCTAAGAGTTGGGGGCCTTCTTCTCCGGCCTCACAGCGCTCTGACAGTACCTCGAGCACATGCCCTGGACTATAACTTTACCAGTGGGCCCTCAGCCAACGTTAGCCTAATGAGCGGATGGTTTCATTATCAATGCTGGTTTCTTCTTGGCAGATCACCTAGACCCTTCATTCCCAGTGGAGTTTGTAAGACATGGAGACATCATTCGACTAGAACATAAAGAGTAAGTAATTTGCTGTTTAGGGTAAATGGGATGGGCACCAAAGGTAGGGAGTTTTTTTTTTTAAGCTGGAAATGAACAGCAGTCAGATTGGGCTGAGGCTGTATGAATGGAACAAGGGTGCTGTGCTGGATGGCAGGACCGTTTTTGTGAAGGTTGATGAAATAAGCTGACTGGCCTTTGCCTGCCTATTTTGGCTTTGGGGAGCTTTGACATTTGAAGTTGTCTTTCTTAGAGGACAAAAGAAGAACATTCATTTGCCCAAAACTGCTTCTTAAGTGGCCACCTTTAGAAAGATGTAAGAGTCTGTTTCCAAGAATATGGCAAGCTAGTTTATTAACCAATGTTCTTATTGAAAATGACTAATAAGAATAATATCAATATAAAACTAGAATAATGTAAAAGCATCTTCTAAAAAGCACCAAAGAGCTGACAAGACAGTAAGAAGTCAGCAGGCCAAAGGCTAAGTGAAAGGGGGAATTGAGGGAAGTAAGGGGGACCCTTGCGCTGTGACCCCACCGTCTGCGGTTTCGATCTTTGATTCTGACTGCCTCTTGAGAGATGAAGTTTTAAAGTCAAAACCTTGGGTTCACCCAAAGTGTTGTAAATTCACCAAATGACCCTTCCCCCAAATTGGCAGCCCCAAAAAGGTCAGGGTAAGGGTGAATCTGCCCTATCCAAATATGAAAAAGTTACTTTGGTGCTGAGCAGAGGGCTTGCAAGGGCTTGGGGGAAGGAGGGAGGCACTATCTCTGGTTCCTGAGACGATGTAACTACCGGTTTATCCTCACATGGATTTGGTGCCCGAATTCATTTCACCTGGGTGGTCTCAAAATCTTCAAGCCAGGAATTTAAACAAATGTGATCGTAGATTGGTGATGTCTTCTACCTGCCTGGCTAAAAGCAAATGTAAATCTTTTGGGGAAGACATTGTCATCCATTCCCATAAATGGTTTTTCAGCAACAGTGAATAGTACACAATAAAAAACAACTAAACACACAAGCAGATAGGACACAGCATTCAAGAATAAATAGGAACAATAGATAGCAGAAGCAGCCCTCAATAGTTTCATATACTATCCCTGGCTGGGTGGTTCAGTTGGTTGGAGCATCGTCCCGCACACCAGAAAGGTTGTGGGTTTGATCCCTAGTCAGGGCACATAGGGGAGGCAAACAGTTGATGTTTCTCTCTCTCTCTTTTTACTTCTTTCTCTCCTTCTCTTCCTTTCTTTCTAAAATCAATGAGCATATCCTCCAGTGAGGACTAAAAAAGAAAGTTTTGTATACTAGAATTACCAGATACAGATATTTTTAAAAATCAGGGATTATATATATGGGAAAGCTGTGAGAGTGTTTTTCCTGGTCATTATGATTATGGATACTTAAAATTTTAATTTTATTATTAAATATTTTTCATTTTATTAATAAATTAAAACTTGTTATTTAATTTTATTTGTGAAAATTTCAAAAATTTTTATAATAAACATTTCTTATTATGGATTAAAGTAAGACAAAGTAAATAAAAGCTAAATTAAACCCCCACTCCTCCTGCAGATCCCTGCTTTGTAAAACCGGTGATGGGAGTAGAACGAGCAGGCGGGAGAGAGGAGGCCTGCTCTCTCAGGCACATGCAGATTGCAGATTTTCATTTCCTCCTCCCCACACCTGCAAGCTGCGTGCTTCAGAGCCCCCAGGCGCTGTCATTCCCCACCCCGACCCTCCCACCTGAAGTTAGAAGTGAGCCCGTTTCTCGGCATGCGGTCCAGTACTCCTGCCATTTGTCCCTCACGGTCTGGGCAGTTCTCCAATTCTCTGGGTATTTCTTGTGAGTAAACAGGCAAGAAGTTCCTATTATGTTGAATTTAATATTCAGATTTCTTTTTTTTTTTTTTTTTAATCCTAACAGATGACTCTTAAATATCCTTGGTTAAAGAAGCAACTTTGCACATCTCTTTTCTTCAAGATAATGGCACTTCTCTCTTTCCACTTCCAGGACTTCCCGGAACTTGCACAGTCACTATCATGAGGCTCCCCTGACCCGGAAGCACTATCAGGTCACTGGCTATGGCATAGTAAGTGAGCGACTGAAGTGTGAGCAGGATGTGAAAAATGGTGGGGCCTGGCTCAGGGCCCTGGGGTGGAACCCAGCCTCCCGGGAATGCCAGCATGTTCCTAAGGACTGCAGGCTGCACAGGAACTCCCCGAACATGTGGGAGCGTTTGGCTAGGCTTGCTCTGGGAAAAGCAGCCTGTGAAGTCTATTTGTTCCCATTTCTCTCCTCCCATTATAACCATGCTATTTTTATGTTCTCTCACTTAATAAATGTCAAATATGAATTCTATTTGGGTCCTTTTTAAAATCACATTGGACATAAGCAACAAGCCCACAGTGTGCCCACAGTGTAACCCCAGGTGACTAATTAAGTTTATCCTTTGCCAGGTCCCAGAGTCTGATTTGCCTTATTTTTAAGGATTCCTTCTGTCTGCAGTGGGATATTAACCCGATTGCTTTTGGATTTTTACCACCTTGGGGTGATACAGTTAATAGAGGAAGCTCAATGAGTACTTAGGGCTTGGGGAGTAACTTAAAAACAAAAACAACCAGTGGGTAACATGACTCTCAGTTACGTTCCCCTCCAGGGGCTTTGGTGCAGCAATAAAAATTCTGGGTTTCATAAAGTAGACTTCCCAGCCCTCTGTGTCTGCTCCTCCCAGCGGGTGCTAGAGGCGAGACTCTGAACTCCCCCTCCTGGGCCTGTCCTGAGGAGGATTAGACACAACTGTCTTAACTTCCAAAGTAAGCTATCCAGGCCGGGCCGCCCTGGCTTAGATGAGCGACTGTCCAGAGGGCCGGGGGACTGCATGCAAATGGCCCAAATATACTTCTGTTGGCTCAGGGGGATGTCTCGAGTTTGGTGTAGAGGCAAAACATCTATTTAGAACTTAAACACTTGTCCTGTGCCGTGAAGGATTAGCCTTCAGTTCCAGGAGCTGGACTACAGTCCCTGGTAATGGCAGTGAGTGTTGGAGCGGTGTCCGCCGCTTGGGATGTCTCCGTGGCCCTCACGTTTCCTTTCCTGCCTCAGCCATTGAGGGCAGTTTTAGTCTTTGACCTTTGTGACATGGTGGCATTTGGAATGTCCTCTGTAAAGTCATATACTTTCTTTGGATTTTTTTCTTGATTTATCCGGCAGAATGGGACAGGGGACTCAAATGATTTCTGGCGGATCGAGGTCATAAACAGAAAATTTGGAGACCGGATCAAAGTGCTGAGAAGTCGAATTCGCTTTATTCACCTGGTCACAGGTTGTGTCCTGGGCTCCTCAGGAAAGGTTCTGCCCAAGTGGTGAGTCTCTGGGGCGTTGGTGTTGTAATCGAGGCTCATGCTTTTCCTTTCACACTATAAGTATTTCAGAAGCTTCCACTCCTCCAGTGTCAACATTCAGCTCATGTTTGCATATATTTAGTGGGAGGCGGAGGGAGAAAAGGCACCAGGTGTGTTATAGTGCACAGAGCCCCAGAGTTCCTTTGGTGTTTTATGAGTTTGGACATTTGAACGCTTGTACGTGTGTTTTGTGACAACTCCCTGGATTGATAGATCTGTCTAAAATGGGAATGCTGTACGCAAGAACACGCCTAGTGTAAGGGTGTAAAAAGCATGGCTGCCGGGTTGGAAAAGGGGCTGCCACGGACTGAGGGGCAGCCGATGGTGCTGCTCTCTGGTGAGCTGCGGGGCTCCCGAGAGACCTCAGTGACCGCCTTTCTTCACAGGGGCTGGGAGCAGGTGGAAGTCACTTGCAATCCATACCTGAAGGAAACCCCCAGCTCCATCTGGAATGTGGAGGACCACATCAATCCCAAATGTGAGTGAGGGCACTTCCTGGGCTGGCTCTCAGGAAGAGACCGTTAGAAGCAACTCTTACCTTAGAGAGAGACACCCTTATAGACGCTGCTGCCGCTTTCCCTTATTGTTTCCACTTTCTTTTTTAAATCTAATCTCTTTCTAAGAGTTGTCTAGATAGGTGGCTCCTCTTCCTTCCCATTCACTTAAACTCCGCTCCTTGAAGTGACCAGGGACCTCACTCAAGGCCAGAGCTCGTTTCCACTTTCCTTGCCTTTCGCTGGGTGGTTTTCTTCCACTTGGCACCTTTGCTGCAGGTCCCTGTGTCTCCTCACCTCTGGGCTCTCTGTCTCCTGCACGTGGCCACCTCCCCCCACTCAGGGCTTAGCGTAGGCTGGGGCTTTCCCTCCACGCCCCTGTGTGGAGCGCCTGCCCTCCCCACATCCAGCCAACACGTTTTCCTGGAAGCGACAGCCACAGGCCTGGCCACAGCCCTTTGTCGGAGCCCCTCGCAGTGCTCCCAGGCTGCGGTCGGACACTTCCACTGTGGCTCCCTCTTCAGCTCCATGAGCCTTTGGATTCATCTCAGTGCTCTTATTGCTCCTGCCCTCTTCTTGCTCCTGCTTGATTTCTCCTCTCTGTGCTCCTATTTCATTCTTCTTAACTCCTAATTTAACCAGCCGGCTAATTCATGAACTAAAGAACTCTTTATTGAGTATGACAGAACCGTGCGGGGCCCTGGGGAGATATCGGCGAATGAGGTAGACTTGGTCCCTGTCTCTACAGCCTGCCGAGCAGGGGAGGGCAGCACTTGCAGCAGCGCCGAAATGAAGTGCCGCTGTGCCGAGAGCTGCGGGGCTCCCCGGGCCGGGCCTGTTGCCTGTTGCCTGTGTGTTTCCCGGGATGCCTGATGCGCTGGATACTAGCTGAATGAATAATCAAGAGTGGGGCCAAGCTTCCTTCCCTCTCCTCAGCGCTTCCACCAACTCGGTAGTCAGCCTGTCAGGAAAGCTACATGCAGACTCCGGCAGCCATGCGGGGACCGTGGGCAGCTACGAGGGAGAATGTGTGGCTCAGGTTTTCTACTCTGTCCTTTTTCTAGTGCCAAACATCAGCCTGGACGTGCTGCAGCCTAGTTTTCCTGAGATCTTGCTGGAGTCCCACATGGTGATGATCCGGGTAATGGTCCCCTCCGATTTGGTGGCTTCTCCGAGAGTCTTGGTTTAGTTGGCCTTCAAAGGCATTTCCGTTTATCACAGAGTGATGGTGGTGATGAAGATGATGATGACGATAGCTATGGTACCAGTGAAGACCTATGTAGCTCTATGTGCGAGGCACTACTCTAAGCACTATACATATATTAACTAATTTAATACTTATTACAGTCCTATGGAGACCGTTGTTCCGGGTGCACAGATGAGGCACAGAGAGATTAAGACCTCACCTGGAGTCACAGGGCTGAGTGTCCATAGTGGATCCAGGCATCAGGGCCAGGCTGGCAGGCTCCCGGGGGCAGTACAAGTGGCCGCCGCATTCCTCCGCCTCTTGGGGATTCTCAGATCTGCGCAGGGGCAGAGCCCTGCAAGTCAGAGTGGCCTTGGCTGAAGATTCCGAGACACTGGTAGCTCATTCCATCGTATGAAATTATGAGCAATTAGGACAACTAGCTCAACTTAGGACAATTAGGGTGTGTTGTTTACATGCAGCATAAAATCCTAACCACGAGCCCACTCGTGTTCCCAGACCGAAGCAGACCATTGAGGGGCATGGCTGATTGTTTTAAGGTTTTCTAAGACTCGCTGTTTGTGCTCTGTATCCTTAGTAGCTGACAGCAGTTGCGGCGTCAAAGGTTTAGGAACAATTGAGAGAGGAAATCATTCCATCGAGAACCTTCCCCCCACCCCCCACCCCGCTTAACTTTCCCCTGGGAGCTGGACAAACCCCACTGCAGTTTCGGCGTTTAGGGAGATGCCCCTCTCCGCCAGTCTGAGGAAAGCGGGTGCCCTGCAGGAGCCGTGCTTGGAAGCGCTGTGTTTTCACCCCTGCAGCAGCCATTATTTCCCCATTGTCAAGTGGACTTTTCTGGAAATGATTATGTAAGCAATATCAGTGAATACAGTTGACTTAAATCACCAGATTAAATTTAAAAATTCAACTTTTGTCATTTCTGCGCATTGGGCGGTGACGAGTTGACAGCGAGCAGTCTCTGGGTCACTTCTTCCCTGACTTTCTGCTTGTAGCTGTCACTGGGGCCTGATGACATAGCTCTTTTGAATGTGTGCTTGTCAGTCAAAGTACCATTCTAGGTCTGGGTAGAATTTTAAGACAAAGCCTAAATAGTATCATTCATTCTTTCATTATCTAAGAGGTGGAGTACAAGAAGAAAAGGGACATAGGGGACCTTTCTTGCTCAGCCAATGTAGAGTCAGGACAGGGAAAGAGATCAAAATAGTCCAGACAGAAACTGCAGCGGAGAGCCGTTTCCTGCCGGCCGCGTGGAGGGCCTCGCCCGGGCGGAGAAGGCCTGTAGGGGGTTAGCTGGGACAAGCCCACCGCAGGCGTTAAGCATAGGGAACATGTACAAATGCACACGCCTGTAATGGTTACAGATCTTTCCTTCCATGTTGGTTTAGTAGAGGAGCTGGATTCCTCGGAGCGTAATGTAGTGACCAGGATACCCTTGGGTTGTTAGAGCTCTGGCTGGAGTCCCTGAGTTTGGGACTGGACGGCACTGATCTGAAGGAATTGATTTCCCTCAGCTGGTGCTCTGGGGTCCAGAATGATTCACTCTTCATTCTGGGGCCTTTCAGGTGGCCACAGCGATTCAGGGGCTGCGCGGCTGCCCCCTTTGGGTCTGACACCCCCATGGCAGTTGGTCCCTGGAAGAGCAACACAGCTATTGTATGGGGGCCTGCAAATAATTCCCAGTCTCTCAGGTAGTTGGATTATAAGGCACTGGGTGGTGGTTCACTGAACCAGACCTTCTGGATCTTTCTTTTTTTAAAAAAAGATTTTATTTATTTTTTAGAGAGAGGGGAAGGAAGGGAGAAGGAGAGGGATGATTGATGATCGATAGGTTGCCTCTCACATGCCCCCAGCCGGGGACCTCACCTGCAACCCAGGCATGTGCCCTGATCGGGAATTGAACTAACAACCTTTCAGTTTGTAGGCCAGTGCTCAATCCACTGAGCTACACCAGCCAGATCCTGAATCTTTTGTGGGCTAGACCAGTGGTTCTAACAGGGTGATTTTGCCTCCCAGGGGATATTGGGCAATGGTTAAAGATGATTTTGGTTGGCACAGCTGAGGGGTAGGGCTGCTTCTGGCATCTAGTGGGCAGACCCAGGGATGCTAAGCACCTTGCATGGCCCAGGACAGCCCCACACCAAAGGCGTCTCCAGCCCCAAATGGCAGTGGGGCCGAGGTGGAGAAACCCTGACCTGACCCACAGCACCTTGCTCCTCTTCTGGGAAGTGCCTCTCTGTGTACCCTGATGATGAGGCGAGTACCAGTCCTGGTGGTTAGGATCCAGGAGCCTGATCCGTTTCCTTCTTGTTCCAGCACAGGCCTGGTTTTGCCGTGTAGACACAGTCATTAGGTATTCTTGGCAACTGGACTAAAGGAGCTGAGTGGGGGTCCCTCAGGCTAAGTGTGCACTCTCAGCTGAGTGATGTCTCTTCCAGTGGATAAAATGTGTCTTCAGAGGACAAGGACTCCTTAACTTTTTCATGTGTAAAGCACAAGTATTCACACAGTATACAAGCAGATTTACAGTATAGCTATGGTATTACAATTTCATGGTGGGGGGTGTTTAGGAAAAAAAGTGTCTAAAAAATCTGGGAGGGGCAGTAATTTAAAAAGTTGATAACACTGGTCTAAAGTGAAATTTTCAAAGTTCAGGAACTCCCCTGTGTTCCTGGGCTCGTGTTTGAAATTGGCCTTCTGCGGGGACAGATAAGTCAGCCCTGATTTTATGTGCCCGCTCCTCGCCCTCCTGACCCCTGTCCTTGGGCTGCACGATGGGCGCGCATTTTGTGCCCACAAGAAGTGAAGCCCTCATTCCTCTTTCTCTCAGGCAGAGGGGGCCCAACGGGACTTTCAGGTGGGGATCGGGGGCTTGCGTGTTGGGAGCAGTAGGGCCATTGGTGTGGGCAGGTGGGCAGTGACCGGGAGTGAGCGCCTGGTTCTTCCTGCAAGGGGGAGAGAGGAGAGGGTTTCTCCCGATGCCTGGCCGTTTATCAGAGAACCCGTGCCGCCCGTTTCTGTTGGCCCCCTCGATCGGTCGGCTCTGACTAGCTTTTCTCTGCCACCTTCCTACAGGGGAACAGTGGCCTCAAGCCCAAGGACAATGAATTCACATCCAAACCCTGGCACTGGCCTATCAACTACCAGGTAGGGCCTGAGGCTAGAGCTCCTCTCAGGAAGTGAAGCCAAGAAAGGTACCGTCGAGACTTGGTGTAGGTGGGGTGACGGGGAGAGGCCTTGTGGCCTGGCACGGGGTGGCAGAGCCAGGCTCTGTGTCCTACCCTGGCTCTGACCCAGCCTCCCAGGGAGCTCCTGCCCAGGCTCCCTGTCTGGGAAAGGCGATCTCCCCTGGAACGTGTGCAGCCAGGAAGAGCTGGGCCCCCTGATCAGCTGCGCGTCCTCTGCCCCCCAGGGCCTGCGCTTCTCAGGGATCAACGACACAGACTTCCGAGTGTATCTGCTCGGCAACCCGGTGAGTGCCCGGCGAGGACCCTCACGCCGCCCGTGGAGAGCTGTGGCTCTCCTCTCACCACCTGTCCTTGCCTCCACGCAGGTGGTGTGGTGGCTGAACCTGGTGAGCCTCGCCCTCTACCTTCTCTCAGGGAGCATCGTGGCTGTCGCTGTGCAGCGAGGGACGCGTCTGCCTGCGGAGGTTGAAGGTCAGGTCCCTGGGCCTCTCTGTCCCCTGACCTGGCAGCTGGCAGGCAGGGCGCCTCAGCCAGGGGAAGGGCTGCCCATTGATGGGCTGCTCTTCCCCTTCTCCTTTGCGTCTTAAAGCTCACAGTCACCAAGTGTTAAGCACTGCATCCTCCCTGCCACCCTGGAGGGTAGGGATCATTGCCCCGCTCTGTGGATTAGGAAACCAAGGCACAAGAGGTTAAGAAACTTGTTGCAGGATGTATGCTTGCAAGTGCTAGAGCTGAGGGTCAAACCCAAGCAGCCTGAGTTCAGAGTCTTCACTTCTAACCTCTGTGCTCCACACAGAGCTGCCCATCTTTTCTCTTTTGCCCCTCCTTGTTCCCTGGCCCTGCCCTCCAGTGGGGTAGAGAGGAGCCCACGGGGCGCGGTCTGTGGGTCCCCATCCTAGTGTTGTTCCTGGTAATTTAGCTGCCAGGCCACGGACCACCACACCGGAGACATTCGCACAGGCTGTTGTGGCCTCTGCAGCTCCGTCTGCACAGCCAGATCCCAGACTCCCTCCTGTCCCTGTCCGCCCTCCCCTCTGACCTTGCTCAGCCCTGTCTGCCGCTGCTGGGGTCTGCATGGCAGCAGACGTGGGAGACGGAGGTGGGGGGAGCTGTCTGGAGGGCACGCGGGATTTTGGTGTCTGTGAAGGCTGTGCTGCCTCCTCCTGCCGGTCTCTAGCACCTGTGCCGTGGGTGCTGAGGCCTCGCTGGGTTGGGTGCGTAGTGAGCAGGGCTCCTGAGAGCCAGCTGCTCCTCTCCTGCTGCCGCCGCAGGGCTGTTCGGCTTGGCCCAGGTGAGAGAAGGAAGGCCCCGTCAGGTGATGCGGCCGTTTCATGACACACAAGGAAGGGGCAGAGCTGGACTCCAGCCCAAGCTCTCTGCCCCCACCCCCGCCTGCTGACTCGGGCTCCACTTCTTGGCCCAGGGCTGTCCCAGGTGCTACTGCGAGGAGGAGGTCAGCTGCTGCTCGGCTGGGCGCTCCATTACTTCCCGTTCTTCCTGATGGGCCGGGTCCTCTACTTCCACCACTACTTCCCCGCCATGCTCTTCTCCACCATGTTGACAGGTCAGCACCGCCCCCCTGGACTGGGAGAGAGGTGGGGGGCAGGGACGGCAGGGGGTGGGGTGGGACGGGAGGCCCCCGTGGAGCGGCAGTGCTGAGAGGGCATCTCTGTGGGCACCTGAAGTCCTCCTCCGGCGGGCGGGGCTTGGTTTCTCTCCTGTCCGCCAGGCCTCCTGTGGGACACGCTCCTGCGGCTCTGGGCCTGGCGCCTGGCGCCCTCGCTGCTGGCCGGCGGCATCCACGTGGTCGGCGTCCTGAGCCTGCTCCTGGGAGCCGCCTACAGGTGAGCATGCCCTGCACTTTGCGCTGCTGCTCCCAGCCCCCACCCTTCTGCCTCAGCCCCAGGTGCATCTTAGCGTCCCCTGAGGTGCATTTGAAGCGTGCCGGTGCCTGGGCCCCATCTCCAGAGGTTTGATTCGCATGAGCCCAGTTTGGCCCTGTCGGCCACAGTTTTCAGAGCTCCCCAGGGGACTCTAACCTGCAGCGAAATCGGAGAAAGGTGGGGCTAAGTCTTTGCACGCTTTCCTTCTGCCGGTGGTTCCCAGCTTTTGTTCCACAGGCCCACCTGGGGGGCACCCCTCTCTGGACACGGTGACTCCCTCCTGGGACTGTGTGCAGTGGGGTGAGGGAGAGGGTGGGTCCTGGGGTGAGAGGCATGTGGTGTGGCTCAGAATAACTGGGCGGAGGGTGTTGTTTGGAAAGCCACCCCTCCTCTCCCCACCTTGCGAACCTCGTAGACCACCTGTTGGGAGTTATTGGCCTGTAGGGGCTGGGGGGCCATGTAAACATGGGGACAGGGAATGGTGATGTGTGACCTGAGAGCACTTTCACATTTTAACACTCTTGTCTCTTTCCTGGGCCTCTGGGGAAGAGCCCTTTCCTATATTGTCATTAAGTCAGCATCTCCTAAGCTCTCAGGCTACAGTGTGCCAATGTGAACTCGGGCAGACAGGGCGTCAGAAGGGAATAGGCCCCTTAGGCAGAGAAGCTCCGATGAGCTCCAGCAGGAGGAGCTGCGTTTGAAAGGCCCCTGGGGCCGCTGGTCTCTGCGGAGGCACCGGGATGCCAACGGCCTCCCTCTGGATTTCTCTTACAGCTTCTACCTCTTCCACCCTCTCGCTTACGGGATGGTCGGTCCCCTGGCCCAGGACCCCCAAAGTCCGATGGCAGGACTGAGGTGGCTGGAATCATGGGACTTTTGAAGCCACTGCAAGAACTGCAGCCTCAGTGCAGGAACTTCCTGGGGGATGGCCAGCTGTGGAGCCAGGCCCTGGACCTTCCAGCCGCGAGGCAGCTGCCTGAGGAACCCTGTTGCCTGCTAGGACCAAGCTCCAGGGGCAGACCCGGAATTCACCCCGACACCAGAGGGAGAGGCCCTGCCTGCAAAGTGCACCACTGGGGATGGCGCAGCCACCGAGGGCGGACGCTGTCGCCCAGGCCCGTTCCCCCAGGCGTGCAGCATAAGGAAGGAGGAGTGTGCGCGAGCGCGTGGGAGTGTGAGAGCACGTTTGTCCACATACCTGTGGGACGTAGACTGGGACTGCGAACAGCCGAGTGTCACAAACTCTAAGAAACAGTCCAGGGCAACAGTAGTATTTTCTGGTGTCTTTCTCACACTGGATTTGGTTTGTAAGACCCAGCAATAATCCTCTGACCCTCAAGAGGGCTGAGGGCGCTGGCCCCACCCGGAGACACTGGCACGGGCAGAGCAGATGGGACTGGCAGAGCTATGCTGCCCTCCTTCTCACAAACGAGCAAGTTCGGCCGAGCGCCCCTGAGTGGGGGTGTGGGGGGGCCGGCCTCCCAGCCACTTCCGCGTGTGGCTGCCGCCAGAACATCTGCGTGCAGCAGGTGGCTGGACTTCTGGCCTGCAGTGTGCACAGGGGCTGGGCTCCAGCGTGAGGCAGCTGAGGACCTGCCAGCCCTGGGTTGGCCCTTGGTCCCTCACTCTCTGAGAGTGTCACACGATGATATTGGAGGGAGGAATGGTGCCCTATCCTTGGGTTCCCAGGCCCTGGGTGCCAGAAGTGGTTCCTCGCTACCCATCCTGTCCCTCTGCCTCCGGCCTGGCTGTGACAAGAGGACAGACGCGTTCTCCCAATGGCCGGGAGCGCCCTTGGGCCCCTCGCTCGGCAGCTGAGGTGGATGTGTGGCAGAGTGGGGCCTGCGTGGTGCTGCGCTGGGGCCCCGGTGTCACTCAGTGTTCCCCAGTTTTACTGCTCGAGTCTTCCCCTGCTGGCACCCCCTTTCGCTCCCCTTCGTTCCCCTTCCTCTGTGTCACAGCCTCACCAATCTTTTCCCCCAGAGACCCCGAGCACCTAGAGGTGCACTAACACTTCTCCTCTCCATCACTTTGAAGCCCGAGCAAGAAGCTCAGAGCTGTTCCTTTCACTTCCTCCCCAAATGAAAGGGATTAAGAAAACCCTTGGGTTGCCGCAGAACCAACTCCAGGCCAGCCCTTCCGCCCGCCGCCCTCCTCCCCGTGCTTGACAGCATATTTGTTTGGTCTCAGAGGACCCTGATGCTTCAAGGTTAATGCCGAGCCCCTGCCACACTCCATCTTCCCTTCTCTGTAGCCCCTACCAACTCTGACAGGGTCACAGCTCTTCAGAGCATCTTCAGAGGCGGTTGCCACGGAGACTGGAAATTGGTCCTGGGGACAGGCTGTGCTCCCTACTGGGTGATGGGGAGGGAAGCTTCTGGCCATGCTTGGACTTTCAGACCAGCCATCATTAATGTTAATAGAGGAAATACAGCAATATCAAAAGCGAGGCAGGTTTGTTAATTAGATCTGGGGCCTGATGACCTCCCTCTCCCAGGGCTACAGCCCTTTTGACTTCCCCCAGCAGGAAGAGCTGCCTCCTGTGGGCTGAGTCTGGACTGCTTGCTTAATTGCATTTCTGGAAGCAAAGGAGAACAGGGACAGAGAAGCCTCTGCACACCCCTTCCACCCTGTTACTGCCCTCCCCTCCCGCCCATAGGTGGAGTTGGTTTCTTCTGGGTTGGGCGGGGGCAGCCACCTGGGTAGGCTCTCCTGGAGGTAGATCGCAGGAATCTGCGCTTGGCCTTTAGTAAAGAAGAGTGGCACACAATGACAACCAGGAGGTGGCTGATGTTCCCATGTGCCTTGTATTTCCTAATAGGACTCGTGGGAAGGGAGGAGCTCTGAGGGGCGGGGAGTAGGGGGGTTTGGTGAGGAAGGAGGGGGCTCAGGCAGTTTCCTGCCCATCTCTCCGACTTTGGCCACACTAGGGACAAAGTGTCCCTCTGTTTCTTGCACTGCTTTGCAAGGATGGGAGAAGGGCAGTTGTCTGCTCACTCCCTCTTCTTTCTCCCTGCCCAGACTGGCAGCTACTTCTCTGGGGTCAAGGCCACATGCCTGGATGCGGCTCCCAGCGCTGCGGTTCTACCATTGGAAGATGCAGGGAGGAGGGGCTGTGAGGGTGGTGCTTTCACTATGGCCTCCTGCCCCCTCAACAATTGGCAGAAATGCACATGCCCCACAAACTTGCTGGTGGAGGAGGAACACGTTTGTTGGTCAGCCCAACCTCCAGCCAGCTGCTTGAGTCACATTTTATATTAAAAAAAAAAAATTTCCACAGATAATCAAAGGCCATTTACTTTTGTAATAAATAGCTCTTATTTTGAATGGCATGTTGTTCTTGTTGTACTTAATTGAATCTGACTTGCCCTCTGGCTCCCAGAAAGAGGAAAAGAATGTTTTGAGTGCAAGAACCATTCTGCTGTGTCTCAGGTCTGAGTCCGTTCTCGTTCCAGCAGAGGCCCTGGGCTGAGCAGGTGAGCCTGATTTTACCCCCGCAGGGCATTTGGGGTATATGCCATGTATAAGGTTACTTGAGTCATGTTGGTTATTTTGTTTTATTTAAAGTTACTCCAAAATAGGTAGGAAGCTGGACCTGCTTGCTTCTCTTTTAATCTGCCCACACAGCATAGAAAGAGGTGAGCGAAAGTAACAGTCATGGGCTTCTGAGACAGCTCAGTGGCCCAGTCTTGCAGCAGCTTCCATTCTACCCCCGTCTTGACAGGAGCTTTCTGTTATCAGGACGGATGTCAAGGGTCCAAAGTAGGTCAGAGCTGACCTGTGTCAGACAGCAGCTGGGGAGGAGAGGAGGAGCACCGCACTGTGCAGCTTGGGGTCTTCTGGGCTAACTGACCACCTCCCTCTTAGGACCAAGAGTGGGGGTGGGGGAGGGGGTCACGCAGATCTTCAGCAGATGGGAGGTGCTGAGGATCGGCAGGTTAGAAAAGGACCAAATGCTTCTTGACTGGCACAGTTTAGTTTACTGAGCCCCAGCACATCTGTGGCGCTTAATCTCATAGAGGCCCAGTGACGTCACTGCTGTTTTTGTCCCCATTCTACCCATGGGAGATTAGATTACTTGCCTACGGTCCCACCATTAGTAATTAGTGGAACTTGGACTAAGCACCAAGTTGGGTTTTTTCTGCCTCTCCAGCCTGGCCCTGGGACTAGAAGCACCTTCCCAGGAAAACCTGGCAGACCTGCTTCCCTTGAGGAGAAGAGTGGACTCAGCTCACGGGTGTCCAGGTTCAGCCTGGTCCCTTGCCCTCTGCTTGACACGTTGACAGTTGCTCTAGGGCCTGCTGTTTCCTGGTGCACCCGGACCACTGGTTTTCTGGGAGGAAAAAAGCCCTGACTTGCAGCATTTGTCAATTTTCATGGTGTAAATGCCCCTACCATGCCCTATTTCCAGGCTATCAACCTGATGTCACTTTATGAGTTGGAAAGATGCATACTGTGGGCTCTCACAAGCCATCTAAGAGCCAATTCCAATACACCATTGACCCAGACCCAGTGGCCTTGGCTTGGTCTGAGTTATGGACACAGCTTCTGGTCACAGTCCATGAAAGTGAGGGAGGCAGTGGAGTGTGGAGGCCTAAGGACAGGCCAGAGTTAGACCTGAGGTCAAATCCTGGCCCTACCACTTATTGACTATGTGACCTTGGGTTAGTTACTTAACCTCTTTACCTCCACTTCCTCAATGGTAAAACAAGGGTATAACAAATAGTGCATACTTCATAGAGTTATCATGAGGATGAAAAGAGTTCATGATGCAAAAAAAACAAAACAAAAAACCCCCAAAAAACCCCCCAAAAACAAAAACAAAAAACCCACCTTGCACAGTATCTAGACATAAATGCTGAATAAATGCTAGCTCTTTATTATTGTTGATTATAATTTATCCCAATGGCAGCACTGGCTCTAGAATAGCATTTGAACTCGCTCCTCAATTAGAACCTCCTGCCCAAGTCATGGGCAGATGCCAGCCAGGGAGGGGAGCTCCTGTGACTTCTTCCCAGCCACTCAAATATGGATTCTGACCTTCCATCTCTGGTTGGACCACACTACCCAGATCCTTGGGCCTTTTCTCCAAGAGGAACAGAGGTTAGAGTGCACTCAGCCCTCTCTGGCCTCCTCCTGGCTCTACAAGGGCAGAGTGAGCGCTGACTTCGCCATTTGACTAGTGGAGGCCATTACCTCCCACTGATTTATCAGACCCCAGGCCCCGTCCGAAGGGGAAAGGAGGCAAGAAGGGTGCTGCATGTAGACTACTTCCGGGAAACGCAAACGGGGTGGAGTGGGGAGACCCTGATGAGCCAGGTGGCCTGCGTGGAGCATGGCGCATCTGGGCACTGAAAGGAGGTAGATGTCACTGGAGCCGTCACTGCTGCCCAGTGTGAGCTGCCACACCTGGCTGCAGGTGTCCAGCGTGAGCTGCCACACCTGGCTGCAGGGCCCCGGGATGACCCTCTGAAAGCCTAGCCCCCGAGTCCCCTGGCCGCCTTCTCCTTTCAGCCTCCAGCCCTTCGTGCTCTCCTGTGAGGTTCCCTTGGACTCTTTAGGGCACAATCCAGGCTGCTTTACAGCCTTGCTCTCCTGTTCCAGCCCAGAGGGCTGAGACGGTGGAGGCAGGAAAGAGAGGGCCCCGGGGTGCTCCACTCCCGGTCCTTGGAAGAGGGAGAGCAGCTGGATGGCTTCGCTGGGCTTGGTTGGACACAGGCAAGACCAGTTCTGCTGAGGCCCTTAGTCCTGATTTAGGGCTGGAAGGAGAAGTTCTCTGAGGTGAGGACTCAACATGCCTTGCCTAGCACAGGGCTGGCTGTGGGGATGCAGCCTGTCCCGAGCTGATGGGCCCTGAAAGCCCACCCCCTTCATGTGTATCCGTGAAAACAAAGGAGGTAGACTGAGAGGCCCCCGGAGAGCTCAACACCCAGCCCAGCTGGACGCTAAGCACAGCCAAGGAAACTGACAGGAGTGGGCACACTGAGGAGACAGGCTCAGGCACTCGCAAACAATGGTGAACGCGGTGAAAACCGTGCTTGCTCTCCCAAGGCTGGGCCACTGGAACTGGGCTGGGGCTTGAGGAACTTTCACACTTGAAAGCGAAAAGCTTAGGTCTAATTGACAGGTGACCAACTTGAAACCCTGAATGGCAAGCATGCGGTTCTGTGCCTGGGCTTCGATTTAATAACATAAGTGGTACGTCTATTTAACCTTTGAAAAAGTCTATTAAAAATCGTGGGCTGGTAGACTGTTGGAGCTTAACTCCCCGCACGTCCAGGCAAGCAGTGCTCACAGCAGCTGCACCAGAGGCTGCACCTTGTCCCAGCAGAGCTGGGACTGGAATTGGGGCCTACGGGTCTCTAAAGACTGTGTCTCAGGAAAGCCCTGCCCTGCTGGAAGGGGCTGCTGCCTTGGCCCTGTGCCTGCCGTTTGGTGCCCCGGTGGCCCCCAGTGTGTGGCGATGCCTCAGCCACATGCGAACTAGGGCAGAGGGCCCTGCCCCCCACTCAGCCTCGTCGTACAGGTAGGCGCCCTGGCCTTCCCAGGCCCGACCCTGGGGAGGAAGGAAGGGAGTGACAGACCCAAATGCTTCCAGGCAATGTCTGAGCGAGGTTTGTGGAGAGTCTACCTACGGTGGTCAAATTCAAAACAGTGCCCAGACTAGTAAGTAGGTGGTAATGCTACCACCCGTTTCCAGGTGAGAAACGGAGGACCAGAAAGCCTTGACTATTTCTGTTAAGCTCTGAAGCCCCCATTGCCCCTGCCACCAGGTCGTCTCTGGCCAGAGCCGGTTGCCCCGAGTCGCGCGCTTTGATGGACGGAGAGGGGCGGGGGCCGCGGTTGCTTTAAAGCGCCCCAGTTGGTCCGCCCCCGGCGGTGCGAGGCGGGGCACTCGCGGAGCCGCGGGGCGCAGGGAGCAGCAGCCGGAGCAGGGTCCCCAGAAAGCGTCAGAGGGGCCGTCAGGGCTGGGGCGCCTCGAGGCGCAGGGGCTGCAAGGGGTGTGGAGTGGCCCACGTCGCCGCAGAGATGGCGCCGCACGTGTGGTGACGGTGCTCGCGCCCCGAGGGTCCCAGCCTTGTGCTCTGCGTCCCTGGGCGAGCATGGAGCCCCCAGAGCCCGAGCTGATCCGGCAGAGCTGGAGGGCGGTGAGCCGCAGCCCCCTGGAGCATGGCACAGTCCTGTTCACCAGGTGAGGGTGGCCCGAGAGCCTCGGGGGTGCGGGGGTGCGGAGGACCTGGCCGGGAGTGGGTTTGAGGCGGCTGGCCCGGCTCCAGAGGAGGGAAAACGGACCCTCCAGATGTTTGCAGAGGAGGTGGGAGCGGGACCCCTTCTGTTCTCCCCCGGCCAGCGCCGTACATCCGTCCCAATGAGGTGCTCTGGGGGCGGGAGTGGGTCCCCACCATCCCTTTACGCCCGACGCCACCCTGGCGCCGCCCCTCCGCAGTGTTCGTTCCTGAGATGGTAATTCCAGGGCTGCCCACCGCTGCCAGTAAAGGAGGAAGGGGTTCCCCCGCCACCCCGCCGGCTCCTCCAGGGAGCGGAGCTGGATGCCTGGCTGGCGGAGCACGGGGTCCAGGCCCCAGGAGAGCGCACTTCCAGCCACCAAGAAAAGGATGAACCTTTCCGAGGAAAGGGCCAAACTAGCACAGAGAGCGGGGAGGGGATGACGGATGCCCAAGTCTCACCACTGGGAAGAGGGGTAAGGGGGCGCCGCCAGCCCCTAAGTGGGAGGGAGCAACCTGCAACCTCAGCGGGAG